GAGAGAGAGAAACGGAAACACATCGAGAAAAAAAATGAGAGAGAGAGAGAAGGAGTCGTAGAGAGAGACTCGCATAGGTGTTCTTATTAAAAACAACACGCACAAAAACCACCAGGCCCCCTTTGCGCCTGGAACCCACAGCCAATCGTCCCGCACGCCTTTTCGTCCCCGACCAGCAGGGGCCGGCGGATCCCAGGATGAAATTTCGCCGAGTCTGTTCCGGCCTGGCCCCAGACCACCGGCGTCGCGATTCGTTTGCAGCGTCGGCCCTACAGGTCTGGGCCCCTTCCCCGGGACCGGCTTGTCATCCCGAGTCGTGTTGGGAAGGTCGGCCCAGTGACGCCCCCCCAGAGGCCAAACACGATCGACCCATGAGAACCCGATCTAGAACTGCGGGGCATGGAAGCGCGTCCGAGCACCTCCACTGGGCGATGGGCAGTGGCGGCGCTGAAGATGTCAGTGGTGACGACATTGTGCCAGGGGCTGGGTTGTGCTGCTCTGCGCTGTGCCGCGCCGCACGGTGGCGTGCCAGGGGACGCGCCACTGAACGTGCCAGTGGCTGTGCCACGGGATGTGCCAGCGCGACGCACGGTGTACCCGGGGGACGCGCCACGCTTGCTCTAACTGGTTTGGATCTTAAGCACGAGCTGCATGACGGCCCAACCCGCCCAGAGCTAGCTCGAGTCGAAGGCCGCAGAAGAACCATTAAAAACCCGAGCTCGAGTACCGATTCGGCTCCGCAGCGGGAAGAGACGACACGGGCGCAGGGCGCATGGCGCACAGACGCGCCACGGAATGTGCCAGGGGCCGCACCAGGGGATGCGCCAGGAGAAGCGTCATCGGACGTGGCAAGGGACGCGCCACGGAACGTGCAGGGATCAGGAGGGAAACAAAAAACACAGGCAGAATTCATCGTCGATTCCCAGGAAAATAGGTGAAAATATGGGAAGTGGGGGGGAAGACGAAAACCCAGAAAATATTGGAAAGCATCGGGAATCCTGGGATTTGTGTGTATTCATTTGTGTGTCCTTGGGCCCCTTGAAGGGAAGGCGCCGGGGGACATGCCGGGTCGCGCGACAGAGGGCGAGCCATGGGGGCGCGCCAAGGGCGTCCAGGGGCAGGCGTGCCGTCCCGCTCTGGGGCGTCGGGAACCCACGCGTGCTCACGCTCGTCCCGCTGTGGGGCGCTCGTCCCGCTCGTGGGCATCAGGAGCCCCACATGTTTTCACGCTTTTCCTGCCCTGAGGCGTCAGGAACCTCGTGTTTTCCCGCTTGTCTCGCTCTGGGCCGTGCGGTCCGCTCTGGCCAGCTTGTCCCGCCATGCGTTTTCAGCTTGTCTCGCCCTGGCGCGTTAGGACCCAAAGTTCCCGAATGTTTGTTGCACGCTTGTCCCGATCAGGGGTGTTAGGATCCCGTGGTTTTAGACTGTCCTTCCCTGGGGCGTCAGGAGCCCACGTGTGTTCACCCTTGCGCAACTTCTCCAGCACCGCCTGCACCCCGCGCTCCGCCCGCTCCGGCCGCCTGAGGCCCCGCACTCCTGTGCCCTGTCTCCCTAATTAAAGCTGTGCGTAGCCCGCCTAGCTTTTAGCGGAAGAGGTTCGCTCTCGCCCCGCCGACCAAAAAGTGTGTTCGCGCTTGTCCCGCCCTGAGGCGTGAGGAACCCACATGTCTTCGCGCGTTCCCAAGGTGTTTCCGCGCTTGTCCAGTTCTGGAAGGCTGCGCACCCACATGTTGTAAGGCTTGTCCCGCTCTGGGGCGCTGGGAACCCACACGTTCTCGCGCTTGGCCCGCTCTGGGGCGTTGAGAGCCCATGTGTGTTCACGCTTGTCCCGCCCTGGGGGGACCTACGTATTTTCACGCTTGTCCCGCTTAGGGGCGTTAGGCGCCCTCGTGTCTTCACGTTTGTCCCGCTTTGGGGCGTTAGGAACCCACGTGTGTTCACCCTTGTCCCGCTCTGGGGCGTTAGGGACCATACGCTTTCACGCTGGTCCCGTCCTGAGGCGGTGGGAACCAATTTGTTTTCACGTTTGTCCCGCTTTGGGGCGTTAGGAACCCACGTGTTGTCGAGGTTGTCCCGCTCTGGGGCGCTGGGAACCCATGTGTTGTCTCCAGACGCCTCCGCGTTCCCAGAACCACGCGCGCCTCGATACATAGCTCAGTCCGCAGCCCCCCGCTGCCGTTCGTCTGACATGGATGCAGGGCGTTTGGCGCAGCACCTTCGGTAAATCGCCAGGCCTGGAGACACTGCAATTTCACACAGCATGGCCGAGTGTGGAGCCCCTCGAGGACGGCGCGCCCTGCGCGAAGCGGTTGTCTCGAGGATGGTCTCGAGCGCAGCGGTTGTTCCGCAGGAGGCATGTTGGCGTGTTGCGTGCCTGCCAGAGGCCTGCGCGCACTGCGCGCCGAACCTCGGAGAACGTCTAGGAGGAAACGCTTGTTTCGCAGCGCTCGCCCGCCCGAGGCTGGCGCGCCCGCCCGACCGTCCGCCCGCCCGCCCGCCCGAGGCTGGCGGGCACTGCGCGCCGAACCTCGGAGGACGTCCAGGAGGAAACCCGTCTTTCGCAGGCGCTCGAGAGACCTGGGCGCCCCAGGTTGCCCGGGTGGCTCTGGGAGAGCGGTCGGACCGTCCTCAAGGATGGGTCGTGGCCTTGGGAGTCTGACAAGACGTGGGTTCCTGACGCCCCAGAGCGGGACAAGCGTGAAAACACGTTGGCTCTTCGTGCCCCAGACCGGGACCAGCGTGAACACACATGTGTTCCGAGCGCCCCAGAGGAGAACAAGCGTGAAACCGCTTGCGCTCCTACCGCGCCAGACCGGGACAAGGGTGACGACACGTGGGTTCCTAACGCCCCAAGGCGGGACAAGCGTGAAGACATTTAGGGTCTTAGCGCCCCAGGGCGGGACAAGCGTGAAAACATTTAGGGACCTGACTCCCCAGGGCGGGACCTGACTCCCCAGGACGTGTGTGTGTGTGTGTGTGTGTGTGTGTGTGTGTGTGTGTGTGTGTGTGTGTGTGTGTGTGTGTGTGTGTGTGTGTGCTTGTCAGGCGTGAACCCACGTGGGTCCCCCCAGGGCGAGAGAAGTGCGAAATCACGTGGGACCCCAACTCGCCAGAGCGGGGCAAGCACGAAAGCATTTGGGTTCCTAACGCCCCAAAGCGGGACAAGCGTGAACACACGTGGGTTCCCAATTCCTCAGGGCGGGACAAGCGTGAAAACATGTGGCTTCTCGACCGCCCCAGAGCGGGATGGCGTGTGCCCCTCCCCCCTCGGCGCGTCTCTTGGCTCGTCCTCTATCGCGCTCCATTGTTTGTCCCCTGGCGCTTTCCCTGCCAGTTCCGTGGCGCCTCCCTTGCCACCCCCCTTGACACATCCACTGGCGCATCCCCTAGTGCGACCGTGGCGCGTACATGCGCCCTGCACCCCGTGTCGTCTCGTCCCGCTACGGAACTGCATCGGATCTTGAGCTCGAGCTGATTGAGCGTCCCACACGTTTCGATTGCCACCAGCTTTGGGCCAGCTGTGCGCTCAGACAGCTCGAGCTTGATATCCAGATCAGTTCGGTCAGGAGTATGATGCCAAGGGCGACTTGATCCGCATCACTATATAGCATAACGCAATTAAGCGTGGCATGAGGCATGCCATTTGTGCACGGCACAGCACATCACAATCTCTGGCACGGTACATCACGATGGATACCTTCAGCATTGCAATTGCCTCTCGCCCAAGCAGGCGTCTTGAAAACGTAGCCATGCCTCTTGAAAACGTAGCCATGGTTCGTGGGTCGTTCATGTACGAATGACACCAGGGGTCTGCGGACCCAGTTATTTATCGAGGGTCCGAGATGGCGGGGGCACATTTTCCTCGAGCGGGCCCGCGCGAAATGCGCTGATTGCTAAAAGCAACACGGGGCGTGGCCGCGCGATGCGTTGTACGTACTACCACCGGGCCTCGTCAAGTCGGGGGGAGCACAAATTGCAAGGCAGCCATGGGCCCACACCCTTTCTGGGCAATTGTAGTGGCCTCCAGCCAGTGCCGCCGATCCAGGGCGCTCATGATGATGATGATGATGATGATGATGATGATGATGATGATGATGATGATGATGATGACGATGATGATGATGACGACGATGATGATGATGACGATGTTGATGATGATGTTGATGATGATGATGGTGATGGTGATGTTGACGATGTTGATGATGATGTTGATGATGATGATGATGATGGTGATGGTGATGGTTATGATGATGATGATGATGATGATGATGATGATGATGATGATGATGATGATGATGATGATGATGATGATGATGATGATGATGATGATGATGATGATGATGATGATGATGATGGGTCCACACCCTCTCTGGGCAACTTGCCCCGATCCTCGGGGCGGACGAGAGGAGGTGCGGGGCGGGAGCGACGGGGGCTGCGACGCAAGCGGCACGCAGGCCTGCATGTGGCCGCCGTCCCGCCGCCCGGCACCCCCGGCGCCGCGGGCGCTGGGAGCCGCCGGGAGAAGCAGCCGCACGCAGCCGATACGGTGGCCTTTCCTGTGGTACACCCTCCTCCTCCTCCTCCTCCTCCTCCTCCTCCTCCTCCCCCTCCTCCTCCTGCTCCCCCTCCTCCTCCTCCCCCCCTTCTGTCGGGGGCTCCAGAGCCGTGAGGTGGCCATGCAGCGTGGTGAGTCAGTGGCGAGTCGGGCTCGCCGCACTGCTCTGGGGCTCGGGTCGTTCCCCGTGGACGTCTCGGGCGCAGAGGGGGCCTCCGAGGACCCAGGACTGTGCGGGGATTCACCGCGCGGTGGGGTCGTTGGGGATTCCGAAGTCATCGCGCGGTCCGTCGCCACGCGGTTGCAGGGCCCCGAAATCTCGTCCGTTTCACGAAGCTTCCCGTAGTCTTCTGTTCTCGACGCGCGGGGGGGTCACGTGGGCGGCGGGTTCCGCGAAAGAGGGGGGGCGGGGGGGGGGGCAAGAGCCGCACCCGCGCGCCCGCAGACATGGGCACCCGCAGCTACGACGTGAGGAGGGCATCCAGTGGATCCAGGAGCACGACAGCAGCGAGTCTGATTCCGAGGCTCGCCCGTTCTCTCTTTTGGGGAGGAGCCGAGTGTAAGCTGCTTCCTCGGGGGGGGGGGGCATGAGGAAGATGAGGCCTCCTCGTTCTTCTCCTCCTCCTTCTCCTCCGTCTTGTTCTCCGAAAGGGGCACCCCTGAAGGGCCCCTCTCTCCAAGAAGTGCAGAAATCGGATGTAACCTCCAGCAAAATAGCATGGACTAAGATAACACAGACCCTCTATGGCTACCTGCAGAGGTATTGGGATCGTGAGCTTCGAAAGACACATGAAGAGCCAGGCCTGTCGCACTGATGGAAACGCCTGGGCGAAGTCAAAAGAGGGAAGCGGGAACGCCATCATCACGATCACGACGCTAGACACTAGCACCCCGAGCGGGCAGGTAAAAGTCAACCATGTGGTTGAGGAAATTCCGCTGTCTGATGGACCCGTTTTGAGATACTGCTCCAATCTTTGGAATGGTTCGCTGAAGCTCCCCATTCCGAAGAGCGGATGCAACCTTGTTTGACGTGGTATTGAGCCCGAGCGGGCTTGAATCACTCGCATCCCGCGAGGCACCTCCTTCCCCAGGTTCTTGCTCCCCCTCCTTCAACTTGGCATCGCTCGGACGTGTGCATTTTCTCTCGGCGAGGACCATCGAGGAGTAGTCTTGATCATTTAGCGAAACATGTACACGAAATCGAACAATGCACGGCGAATGGACGTCCGAGCGATGGCGAGTCAAAGGTTTAGGCCAGAAGGCGGCGAGCAGCGACGTAAACGACGCGGGCATGAGTCCTTCCTCGGGCCAGGGACCTCAACACTGTCAGTGGTACCCACACTCCCTTCCTAGTTGAGCAGGCCGAAAGATTTTCCTCTTAAGGCCCACATGACAAACTTAATTCCAGGAGAAGAATTGGATCCACGAAGCTTCCACGCCAAGAAAATAGATCCAGAAGACACGGAAATTGTATCCACGTGACTCTCGCACACACGTAATTGGATTCAAACGGATCCATGCGTTCCCATGCAAGAGGAAACAATTTTCGGCATGGGGATGTAATCGCCAACTCCCGATAACGTAGCCCGTCGGGACCTGGAGCCGACCATCCTGCACGGTCGAGGAAGCGCCGGTCATCAGCAAGCGCAGGGGGAGGGAGATCTTCGAAAGAAAGCTGAGATGAGAAACGGTTCGCAGATTGAGTGCCACCCCCTGAGGGCATCCCACGACTGAGAACATTGGGCCCCACGAGTGCGCGAGAACATTGGCCTTCACTGATGCTGATCCTACTGATGCAGTGGCCTCCTGTTGCCCCGAGATCTGCATGAAGAGCTCACGCTTGCCCATCGGATTCCACATTAAAGCACACCTAGTTAGAACCCGTTGTTGCCGAAGGGGACACATCCTCCTCAATATTCGCCTCCACGATCCTTCTCCTCGCAGCAGGTTCTTGCCGCTGCATGACGTGACTACCCCAAGGATTTTTCAAGGAAGCCCGGATCTCTGTGACCTCCAAGAACTGATGCACCCAGTCAGAACGAGCTAGTAGCAGACGGGCCACAGCAATAGCATTACGCAGAACCGAGCGAGAGATGGAGCGCACAATAAGAACTCGCGACGCCGTCGACGTCGGCGCACAACGAAGCTCTATATTACGAGTGTAGCCTTGACACAGGGTAGCCTTGGCAAGCTGACGACGTGGATCACACTCTAGCTTCTCAAGCAACGCCTGTTCCTCATACCCAGTTACCAGCTTGCTGAAGAGTGAATCGGTGTACCTGGTTTTAGGGACGGGCCAATCACGAACACTTAGGTCACCCTCGCCCCCCCTTCCCACGCTTGTTGGCACGAAGCCCCCAGGAGACCACCAGAGGAGCACGGTCCGACAACTCGCGCTTGGCTGAGCCTTCAGGCTCGATGGTAATATGCGCACGTTGGAAAGTCTGGCGCAAGGCCCATCTTGGCGATGATGTGAAGATTCTGTCGACACGGCTCGCGCTCATCGTGGGCTGGTGCCAATGGGGTCGGCGCGTCCACGGCGAGCTTCTACACGCCCGTTTTCCTCGATATGGAAGCATTGTTCTGCCCGTGGTATGGATCGCTCGAGTACACAGGATGGCTAGCAAGTTCGGCAAGCTGCACTTGGAACCCCGCAAGTGTCGTGCCTTCCTATTTCGTGGTCCCTTATCAGGCATGACCATAAGTGAGCTCCGTCGTGTCCCATGTGAAGCGGACCTAACATGGGCGGCATTCGACATTGTCCCGTGCTGTTAACATTGGGGCACTTTCATTGGCCCACGCGCTAGACATGATATGCCGTGGACGGCCGCCAACGAGAAGCATCACCTTCGTGTCGTGTCGCTTGCATGTCATCCGAAGCCAAGCAATGTATATTACATTAGAGCGTGCTAGGAGCTAAGCGCGCGCAAAACGCGCTCGTGGTTCGAGTATTTTTATGTATGCGTATTACCCTTTTAGATTGTATCCCAGCGTCTCTCGATATATCCCGCGCTCTCTCTCTCTCTCTCTCCCCCCTCTTACTCTTTCTTTGTTGTATGGCTCCCCCCTCGCCCCCTCTTATCCAGCATATCGGTATGCGCATGTATATGGCGTATGCACGCATAGAAACAAACATACTTCCATACAGGCATGCATAAACACAAACATACATAACACCATACACATATACCTCCCTTTTTACCTACCTACATGCCTACATACATACACACATCATACACACATACATGCACCCGACACCTGTGTAGACACATGTAGATGTACATGGTGTTAGTGAATCTGGGTATATGCGTATGCATTTCTACTTCCCCCCTCCCCTCTCAAATGTTCCGTTCCCCCGCGTGCCCTTTTCCTTCCCCCGCATCTTTCCCCCCTTTCTTGTTCTTTCTTTTGAATCCAGGGGCGAGGGGAAAGGCAGAAAAAAGAGGGCGTGGAGGAGACGGGGCGTGGGAAGAGACATGCAACAGGCGAAGGGGAGGATGTGGAGGAGTATGTGGCGGAGGCGGAGGAGATACTCGCCCTTGCGCCCAGCCCCCTTGCGCCCAGGACCAGGCGACCACACGGGATTCGCGGCAACGCGCCCCCCTTAGACCCGAGGTGAACGGATATTATCTTGGCCCTCCCTTCAATCTAGTTGCTTCTTTTCGTCATCATGCCCTGCCTGCCCGATCATCAACCTCTGTGTCCTTGCTGTTGCCACGCCTACCGCTGATGCTCGTCACCTTCCTGCTGCTCGAGCCGTCGCCGTTGCCGCGGCGGCGGTTTCTATCTTTCTCTTATGTGAGCGATGTCTTGTCTGTTTTATTTGAAATGTTGTGGGGGTGTAGTTTTTCTTGGTGCGTTTCCATCGAGAGCCCGAGTTCCCCGTTCGCACGGTCCCGCTTCAAGCCGCACGTCTATTGCGGGGTCTCCCCGCCAGGGGAGGAGGGGGGGGCCGTGTGTGGGGCCAGCGGCGTCGCGGCGGCCCTGCGGGGCCACGGGAGTGGTGTTCGTGGCGTCATCAATGCGCCTGCGGTTTTGCAGCACCACAAAGATTGCGCAACACATGTTGCATAACATCTCTCTATATATATATATAGATGTTCTGCTCAGACATCAAAGCACAGACATGACTCGACTCCGCGCATTGCGCTTGCGCGTGTACCAGCATATGTATGCACGGTCGGTCATTTCAAATGTCATACACTGGACTCCCGGCGAAGCTGTCCTGGAAATTATCGGGTTTTTCTTTTTCCGGAAAGGGCTGCGGCTTAGGTATCCGTTTTAGTTGGTGAATTGTCCTGGCCGATTTCCGCTCGATCAGCAATCATGTAACAACACATGTTGTTTTAAAGAAGTGCGTTTCACGCGTGCCCGCTTGAGGAAAGTGCGCACCCCCATCCCCGATTTTCGAGTAATAACGGATTCCGCAGATCCTCGTCAAGCCTCTTTGTGCAGAATCATTGTTGATAGCCAACAAGGTCTAGGAGGTTTTTCGCTTTTCGCAGAATCATTTCCGATTTTGCGAATTTGCCGAACATTTGCGAATCTTGACTTGTTGCGTGCCCGCTCGAGTATAGCCCCAGAGCGCGACGAGCGTGAAAACACGTGGGTGCCTAACGCCCCAGCGCGGGACAAGCTTGAAAACGCGTGGGTTCTTGACGCCCCAGGGCGGGACAAGCTTGAAAACATGTGGGTTCCTAACGCCACAGAGCGGCACAGGCGTGAAAATACATTGGCTCCTAGCGCCACAGGGCGGGACAAGCGTGAACACGTGTGGGTTCTGCACGTCCCAGGGCGAGTCAAGCGTGACACCACGTGGGTTCCTAACGCCCTAGGGCGGGACACGCGTATAAACACTTATGTTCCTAACGCCGCAGGGCGGGACAAGCGTGAGAACATAAGGGTTTCTAACCCCTCAGAGCGGGAAAGGCGTAACAACAGGTGGGTTCCTGACGCCCCCTGGCGGGACACATGTGAAAACCTTTGGGTCCCTAGCTCCCCAAGATGGGAAACCGTGGGTCCTTAATAACGCGCCAGAGCGGGACCAGCCTGAAACTATTGAAGTTCCTAACGCCCCATGGCGGGACACGCGTGAAAACGTGTGGTTCCCTAACGCCCCAGAACGGGACAAGCGTGGACAGACATTGATTCCTAACGCCCCAGGGCGGGACAAGCGTGAAAACACTTGAGTCCCAGAGCGGGACGCGCGTGAAAACAGAAGGGTCCCTAATGCCACAGGGCTGGACAATCCTGAACACACATGGGTACCTAGCGCTCCAGAGCGGGACCAGCGTGAAAACGCATGGGTTGGGAACGCTTCAGGGCGGGACAAACTTGAGCCCATGGGTTCTTGAACGCCCCAGAGCGGGACAAGCGTGAAAATGGAAAGCATGTGGGTCCCCAGCGCACCAGAGCGGGACAAGCCAGACAACACATCGGTTCCCAACGCAGCAGCGAGGGACAAGCGTGAAAACACGTGGGTTCCCAACGCCCCCAGAGCGGGACAAGCGTGAAACACATGGGTTCCTAACGCTCCCGAGCAGGACAAGCGTGAAAACGCATGGTTTCCGAACGGCTCCGAGAGAGATAAGCATGAAAACATGTGTGTTCTGAACGTCCCTGGGCGAGTCAAGCGTGACACCACGTTGGTTCCTGACGCCCCAGGGCGGGACAAGCGTGACAACACGAGGGTTCTTAACGCCCAAGTGCGGGACAAACGTGAACATACGTTTGTCGCTCACGTCCCAGAGCGGGAACAGCCTGAAAATTCATGGCTTCCTATCGCCTCAGGGTTGGACAAGCGTGAAAACACGTGGGTTCCCAACGCCCCAAGGCGAGACGAGCGTGAAGACACGTGGCACCTTCCCTGCCCGGTCCGTGGCGCTTCCCTTGCCACGTCCCTTGACACGTCCCCTGGCGCATCCCCCAGTGCGCCCCTGGCACATTCCGTGGCGCATCAATGCGCCGTGCGCCCCCGTGTCGTCACGCTTCGCTCCGGAACTGAGTCGGATCTTGATTTCGAGCTGCTTGCGCGCCCCACACGTTTCGACTGCAACCAGCTTTGGGCCAGCTCATATCAGCACGGCGCAGCACAGCACAATTTTTGGCACGATACATCACGATCGATACTTTCTGCATTGCAATTGCTTGTCGCCCGATGAGGTGTATCTTGAAAGACGTGGCCGTTCGCCGCGTTTCTAGATTCCTTTCTGGGTTCGTGGGTCGATCGTGAATCGTACAGTTGTCTATCGCGACAGTCAGGAGGCCACGGGAGGCACGATCCCAGACCTTGTGCGCAGTCGTGGCCCCTCCTGGAGCGCGACTCCGCGCATCCTCGCCACGCCCGCACGTCAGGGTCTCGAGCCAGGCGGCACGATTTCTCCGTTGGAGCACCTCGCGTTTCGCCTCGGTCTCACCCCCTCAGTTTCCGATCACACAACAGCAACTTCTGCAAGCCGTTGCCCGTTGCCGCCGCCCCTTCCCCCCTCTCACCTTTGCCAGATCGTATTCTGTTGCGTGCACGCGGCGGTCTAAGAAGCGATTCTTCCGGCAAGCCTTGGCAACGGATGCTGTGCGGGGCACAAGCGCGCGCCGCCGCGCGAGCACGTCGAACAAGAAGCATTCCGCAACCATCTGGTAATCCCACTATCCCAAGCCACAGCTATCGCAAACTCTATCACAAGCCACTGGGCCCGAAAGAAAAAAGAAGGCGTCAGACTGCTCCCCGCCGGCGCACTCGCCATAAAATCGCTGCGAGCCAGGTCTGTCAAACAGGGCTGGACCCAACGTTGTTTTGCTGGACTTCGGCCGTGTTCTGCTTTTCGTCTTGGCAGGGAGGTATTCAGGGAAACAGGCAGAGCAAAACGGAGCACACGACGACCACAACACGAAACACAACGTTCAGGTCCAGCTCTGGCAAGCAGCGCCGTGAGCCAGGCCTGTCAGATTTCGGACCATGCGTGCTGCACGCGCTGGCACGGCGACGCCGCTCCACGGCCTCCGCGCGCCCGCTCCGGCGCTGCCGCGCAGAGTGCCACGAGGGGCCACGCGCGCGCGCGCCTCTCCGCGCGCGCACGGCGGAAGTCCTTCCAACGCCAGAGTGGTGCTGGGAGCATGTCGTCTCCTCCTCCTCCCCCCTCCTCCTCCTCCTCCTCCCCCCCCCCCCTCCTCCTCCTCCCCCCTCCTCCTCCTTCCTCCCTCCTCGCTCCTCCTCGCTCCTCCTCCTCCTCCTCCTCCTCCTCCTCCTCCTCCTCCTCCTCCTCCTCCTCCTCTTTCTCTGAGTCCCTTCTGGCGTGCAGTCTGTCGTCATCCTTACCTGCGGAGTCGCTTGCATGTTTTCCAGCGTTAACAATGTCACGTGCTCCTTGTCATCGCCATCGTCGTCATCATCAACACCACCGCACACATGATCTTAGTAATCGTCGACGTCGTCGCCCCCACCAAATTGCTGCGCGCGCGCAGTTCGACATCATCCTCACCAGCACGATCGTCATCACCACCGCCAGCAACATAATTGCTTCCATTAGTATCATCACCGTCAGCTGCACCAACATTACCATCGTCGTCGTCCACATCATCCCCATCACCGTCAGGGATATGGTTCTCATCGTCATCGTCCTTGTCGCGGCCCAGGTGAATTGTGCCAAAAAGGTTGGGGTGGTCGGATGGGATGTCGGCACTGTTGTTGGAAGGTGTCACGCTCGGATGTCGTCAAACAGAAAAAAGGTTTCGAAAGAGGTCAGACTCTACCCCCCTCATCGCCCCGGGCTTATCTCGTCCTCTCTGGGTATTGTTTACTGCTCGCTGCCATCATCCAAGCAATTTGCGCGAGCACCCATCCTAAGTACAGAATAGTATCATCCCAGCGGGGCCAGTATCGCCCCCCCCCGCCCTCCGCCATGTAGGCAATACATGTTTGGCAGCACGCGCGGGTGAATATAAGAGGTGTGCGGTTCAAGTCCTAAGTCGGGCTACTCCCTCTACAGGAAGAATATTCAAACATTGTTCAAAACATAGTCCGGGGACGATGTTTTGATAATTGTTGAATAGTGTTGTGCATGTGTTGGCTATTTTTCTTTGTCGTCCAAAATCCGCCTGTAGGGGGACACGCCCGACCTAAATCAAGCCCCCTGCAACGTATCCGATGCGGGGCACATGCGCGCGACGCCGCGCGCGCGTGTCAAATTCGCAAAGAAAAACGAACCATCGATCGTCGCACATGTCCCATGGATTTGATCAGCCATGTATGCACGTGCGTATATCGTCAGCAACCATGGGAGAAACCGTGCTTGCTCAGCAACGGATGCTATAATTCTGCGCGCGCACTTCATAATCGTAAGAAGCAATCGGTGATTGCCAGTGCTGCCAAATGACAACATACGGGCTACTCGTGCGCATCCGCGTCTCTACGCGCACACCGACATCCTTGTAAAACCCGTGGCTTCACAACCGTTTCGGCATGGAGGTGCCCATCAGCATAGGAAAGCCACATGGTCTTTAATCATCATCCTTGCCATTCGACATCGTCAGTATCACCATTGCCATCGACATCGTCAGCATCATCATCATCATCATCATCATCATCATCACCACTGTCGCCGGCATCACCACCGCCGACATCATCGTTCTCATCGATGCCATCGCTCTTGTCACATGTCTGCGAGCGGTGATTTCTCCATCGTTATCACTAGCACCCTGGTATCAGCATCGAAAGCGCCATCGTGGCTATCGCCATTATCATCACCATCATCTTTATCATCATCACCACTGTCGTCGTTGACATCGTACCGTCACCAACACCAGTACCATCGCCATCGGCACCAGCGTCATCATCACTGCGATTGCCATCGTCGGTGGCGTCGTGGTCGTCACCATCGTCACAAACAGGACTGGTTTGTAGGACGGACTCGTCTGCGCGGTTGAATTCCACGAGCCTGTGCGCGCCTTGAGACCATGACCAGACGAATTTTCCAGGCGGGTGGGAAGTTTGCGCGATCCTAGAAGTCGACGATTGCCAACTCGACGGATGAATTGTACCGCATATCTTGTACCACGTATACACGCAGGTCGTTGAAGTAGGTATTTCTGGACTCCCAGATCCCAATCTACTTTAGGCGCCTTCCTTCTTCAAGCATCGACAGGTGTCTTTCTTCCCTCTTCAGGGGGCGGGCGGAAGCCCAATATACTTCCAACGCCTTCCTACTTCATGTTTCTACCCACTTCTTCCGTTCGGCGTGTACGACGCTTCCGGATTGCAAGAACCAATTGTTCGGGCTCCACGCCAGCAGACGTAGTGGAACCAGTGGTTTGCGGCACGTCCCGCCACCGCGTCAGGGCAGCTGTCCGGATGACGGCTGTTCAGGGGGGTGGGGTCACGGGAGGCCGTCACGTGTGACCTTCGGGGCTTCTCTCTAAGGTTCCGTGAGTTTGCTGGGTGCTATGGGGGGCATCTTGGGCGCGCATTGCGGGCTCTCGGCAGCGTCTTGGGAGGCTTCGGGGATGCTATTGGGAGCTCCCTGGACTGGGCCGATTAATGGCATTCTTGGACCGCTTCCAGGGTCCGTCTTGGCGGGCTCTCTGTGTCATCTTGGCGCCCTCCTGGGCACCTTGAGGGCCGTCAGAGGGCTTCCTTGGGCCGACTCGGGGTCCCCTTGGCCAGCTCTCGGGCGATGTTTTCTCCTGGGCCGTCTTGGGGCCCTCTTGGGGCCCTCTGCGTCCGCTTCGGGACCTCGCCCACGGTTTCAAGGGGAGGTGCCCTCCACCCGGTCACGTGTTGGGAGTTGCCCGGGCGAGTGCGCGCGGCTCCGAGTCGACAGTTGCAGATATTGAAACGACCATGCGGCCTCCGTCCGTGCAGGTGCTGGAGGTCGCTGAGTCGAGCGCGCGCTGCGCCAAAGGGGACAGCCACGCACACGCACACACACACACACACGCACACGCACACGCATACACACACGCACACACACACACACACACACGCACACGCACACACACACACACACACACACACACACACGCACACACACGCACACACACACACACACACATACACACACGTTTCGGTCATCGCGGCCTCGCGCACGGCGACGCGGCGGACAAGGTACCGAACGGGCGGACGCGCGCGCGGTGTGCCCATCAGAGCGGAACACACGCACACACAAACATTCACACACGTATACACATTGAACGAATGTGCGCGGCGCCAGGAGGATAATTTGTGAAGCCATTTCATGCGATACGCCCAGACCGACACGCTTGGGTGCTTGAGGAGGAAGAGATACGTATGCAAAGTTCCATGTTCTAGAGTGGGCATGGGGCAGGAGGGGGAGGAGATAGAGCATTGAGAATACAAGGCGTATGTTGATGGTGTGGGAGGGCAACGGGGGAGTAGCGCGTGAAGGGTGGGATGAAGGGGAAAATTCTGATGAGGAGGATGGCGACTTCGCTGGAAACTCATGGGCGCCAGAGCCCCTTGTCGCGCCCTCGAGTGGACATGGAAAGGAGAAACAGCAAAAGGAGGAACATGGTCCCATTGGGAGACGATGGCGACGATGTCGAGGCTGAGGAGGCAGATAACGTAAAAGGATGCGAAGATTGAGGAGGAGGATAGGTTCGACGATGCCATTAATACTAATCTACGAGTGGGGGGGGTGGGGGAGCTTACCAGGAGCATAGGGGGTGATTGGGAGGGGGAGGGAGTTGATGAGGGGGAAGCCTGGCAGAGGGGGGGGGCCTAAGATGAATGCAGGAGGTAGGGGGAATAGGAAGCAGTCGTGGGCGACGATGAGGGTCAAGAGGAATATGAGGGCAAGATTGCCAGACAATGGAGAGAGAGAGAGAGAGGGATGGAGGGAGAGAGAGATACATATATATATATAGACAGACAGACTGAGAAATGATAAGAAGTAGCCAATAGTGAGAGAGATAAAGAGGGATACCGAGATAAAGAAAGAGAGATAGAGAGAGAGAGGGAACACACTCATATCATCTGCAAATGTATATATACACTTATAGGGAGAGGGAAAGGGAGAACGCGAGAGAGAGAGAGAGAGCGAGAGAGGGAGCGCTGAAGTGCATTTGGCAGAAGGGAGCGACATGAGGAGGGCGCGAAGGAGATGAGGATCAGGGCTGGACCTGAACGCTGTTTTGCTGGACTTCGGCTGTGTTTTGTTTTCGTCCTGGTAGGGATGTACAGGGAAAGCACGGTAGAGCAGCACGAACAACAAATCGAACACATAACCAGCACAGTGAGGAGGGGATGATTGCTGCGTGCTGTCCGAACTGAGAGGGGGGTGATCTGGAGTGGGGCGTCGCTACTTCGTTGGTCGAAGTCCTGGTTCTGGGCATGGTGCCCGTTGAATTCACACTCCTGTTATCCACTGCTGCAGGCACACCAGGCTGTGGCTCCACCATAGGAGAGACGGCGCGCGCGTGATTCCAGCACAGGTGCTCTTAGATACGGGCTCGGGGAGGAGGAGGCGGAGAAGGAAAAGGAGGAGGAGGAGGAGGAGGAGGAGGAAGGAGGAACAGGAAGGAAGAGGAGGAGGAGGAGGAGGAGCAGGAGGAGGAGGAGGAGGAGGAAGGAGGGGAGGAGGAGGAGGAGGGAGGAGGAGGAACAGGGAGGAACAGGGGAACAGGGAGGAACAGGAGGACAGGGAGGAGGAGGAGGAGGAGGAGGAGGAGGAGGAACAGGGAGGCGGAGCAGGAGGAGGAGGAGGAGGAGGAGGAGGAGGAGGAGGAGGAGAAGGGAGGAGGAGGAGCAGGAGGAGGAGGAGGAGGAGGAGGAGGAGGAGGAGGAGCAGGGAGCGGTGTGCTGGCGGCAGCGCTCGGGTGCCGTCTCGCGGCCCACCGAGGCCGCCGCTGGGGCGGCGGCGGGCAGCTCCGCGAGCGCGGCGGGGCGATCGGCCAGCCCAGAAGTCCAGGATCGGGCCGAACGAAAGGGGGGGCTAGGGAAACACGGGCGCCCTCGAGGGCGCGAAGTTATTCGCGCTTCGCGGTTCGGCTCCGATTCCTCCTCTTCCTCCTCTTCTCCCCTGGGAGGCGGCGCGAGAGCGCGAAGTTATTCGCACTTCGAGCTTCGCGCAGCGCGAAGCGCGAAGTTGGGAGCCCTTGAGGGAAAGGGGGGGGGCATACGAAATCTGCTGCGTGCAGCTGGTTTCGGCCCCGCTACCGGGCCCGTTCCTCGAGACATGGGCGCCTCCCGGCGCCGGGAGGCGCTGGGAAAATCAGCTGCGTGAGCTGATTCTCTACCCTACCCTTTGGTGTTCCACCTCTTTCGTTCCCCCCGACAGGAGCGGCAGACCGACCCGGGACCCGGGACGTCGTGGCCGATGACCTCGCTCAGACACATGAAGGCGCGGGGGAGGCAGGGTTCCTTTCGTCGATTCCTCCGATGCGATTCGGTGCGATCTCGACGGCTTCCGATTCCGCTTCGATCCGGCTTGGGATTCCGATGTGGGCTCCGATTTCTGAATGGAGGCATGCTAGCTTGCCGATGGCCTCGCTCAGACACATGAAGGCGCGGGGGAGGCAGTGCTCGTTGCGATGCCTCCGACGCGCTTCTCACCACCCCGAAGGCTTCGATGCGCAAGCCAACCCGAAGGCTTGAATTTGCCCTCCATTTCCGGTGGGGGGGGGTCGGGGAACATCGAAAAAACGCATGGAACCCGTAATTACCCCCCCGACCCGCAATTCGGGTCAAGGTCGGGTCTTCGGGTGCGTTGGGGTGGTCTGGTAGGTAGTCAGAATCGATTCGATTTCGACGGGTTCCGATTCCGATTCGGTACGACTTGAGATTCCGATGTGGGCCCCGATTTCTCAATGGAGGCATACTAGCTTGCCGATGGCCTCGCTCAGACACATGAAGGCGCGGGGGAGGCAGTGCTCGTTTCGATGCCTCCGACGCGCTTCTCACCACCCCGAAGGCTTCGATGCGCAAGCCAACCCGAAGGCTTGAATTTGCCCTCCATTTCCGGTGGGGGGGGGGTCGGGGAATATCGAAAAAACGCATGGAACCCGTAATTACCCCCCCGACCCGCAATTCGGGTCAAGGTCGGGTCTTCGGGTGCGTTGGGGTGGTCTGGTAGGTAGTCAGAATCGATTCGATTTCGACGGGTTCCGATTCCGATTCGGTACGACTTGAGATTCCGATGTGGGCCCCGATTTCTCAATGGAGGCATACTAGCTTGCCGATTTCTGCCGATTCGACTTTTCCCGACTCGGCTGTCGATTTCCGCTGGTCCGATTTATTTCGATCGCCGATACGACTTGTTGATTCGATTCTGGGCTCGGATATCCAGGGCGCACGAAAAGGGGGTCAGCGCTGACGGGTGTCAACTAACTAACCGGGTACCCACGATAATAATGTACTCCCCCCCTATACACATAAGAGTTGATTATCCACGGCCAATAAGAGTTTGGTCGGGGGCGCGGGGGCGCGGAGGCCGAACTTCATTATCACCGTGAAAAGTTCGCCATCGAGATTACTTCCTTTTGATGTTGTCTCAAGCGAAACAAGCATACACTGACGGACGTCTCGAGCGAAACAGTACGTTTCTTAAGGATGTCTCCTTCTCCTCTCCTCCTCCTCCTCCTCCTCCTCCTCCTACCCCTGGCGCCCTGAACGTGTTTATCGCTGTTGTTGGTTATCCTGGGAAAACGAGGCAGATGAGCCACCCTACACAAGCAGATGCAAATCTTAATTCCCATTAAGCGCTTACAAATAAAATATAAGTGTTGAACTTTGGATTGTTTCTTCCTCCTTCTCATCTTCCTCTCTCTCTCTCTCTGTCTCTCCGTCTCTCTCTCTATATATATGTAAATGTTGTGTTCTTTCTCAACCTCTTTCTCTCTTTCTCTCTGCCTCTCTATCTGTCCTCTGTCTCTCTTTCTCTTTTCCTTTCTCTCTCTCTCTCTCAACCTTTCTCCCTCTTTCCGTGCCCCCCTGAACTTGTTTATCGCTGTGGTTGACTATCCTGGGAAAACGACTCATATGAGCTACCCTACACGAGCAGATGAACATCTTAATTTCCGTTAAGCGCTTTCACATACAATCTAATAGGTTTTGAATTGTGGATTGTTGTTTCCTCCACCTCCTCTCCTTCTCCTGCTCGTGTCTTCTCTTTCTCTCTGTTTATATGTGTCTAAATCTTGTCGAGGATGCCTCAAGCGAGACAAGCCATTGTTGAGGATGTCTCAGAGAGGACAAAAAGCCAATGATGTCTCAAGATATCATCGGCTTTGGCTCCGCTGTTAACATCTTTATGCTGGTCCTGGTGGGCAACTTTCATTATCACACCGTAACCGCCGAATTTTATTCTCCCTGGGGGGTTATTCTCGGCTGTACTTGGTTAATCCCTTCCGACCCCCGATGTCTGACCCCACCCCCCTTCCCCTCCCCCAGCTGCCCTGGGTCTAGTGTGTGGCCAGCCTAGGTTCGCTATATGTCCCTGGCTGGCTCAGGTTAGGCATAGATGTATCATCACATGTAGGCCGCTCACATTTAGATTTGCTGACACTCGAACTCGGATTCACTAATATTCAGACTCGCACCTAGAAAGACCCACACGTGTCCAGACTCGCACATATTCTGGCACATTCAAGACATAGTCAGACCCGTACACACATCACTGATACAGTGAGAGCACCATGCCCATCGCGACGTAGCAGGCGTGGCACGTGAGCACCGCAACGAGGAGCCGCCAGCGGTGAGGACATTTGCCAGTCTGCGCCCAGATTGTGAGGACTTTTCTGTTTGTCATGCCCATCGTGATGTAGCAGGCGTGGCGCTTGAGAGCCTCAAGGAGGAACTGTCAGGGGTGGGGACAGATGCCCGTTCGCGCCCAGATTGTGGGGATACCTCAGGGGGTTTGCCTGTTCGGTTGATTGGGGGTTCTCTCTTTCCAGAGCCCCATGCTCATGACGATATAGCAAGCGGGGCAATGTGAGCACCCCAGGGAGTAGCCGCCACCACCCGAGGAGCTGTTCCCGAGGGAGGAGTGGGGGCGACCGCGCGGTTCACACCAGACCCTGGGGTTGTGGGGCCACCGGGGCCAAAAGAGGTCCATACAGAGAGGCTCTGCTCAGTGATGAAGCAAGCAATTTCTTTCCCGTATCTGACCCCTCCGCCTCCCTCTCCCTGCTCCCCCACGCCCTCTTTTCACCTCTTTCGAACGGGAGGCCATCCTGGCCCGTTGCCATTTGAGGCTGCCCGAAGCCATCTGGACGCCGCCGCGCGGAACAGTTGTCGGCACAACGGGGCCCGCCAGCAAGTCCCTCGTGTGCAGTCCTCAGCTTCACGTCAGGCTGGTGTGGCACGAGGCTGTCCCAGACTCTCCTGGGCGCACTGCCGCGGATCTCCGCTCTGGGCTGCACGTTCCACTCGTATGCCATATTCTCCCGACAGTCCGCCAGCAACCGCCGGCGAGGCCGATCTCGTCCTACGTTCGCCAGGGGCGGGGACCTGTGCCCCTTCGCGCCCAGACTGTAGAGACGTCTTCAGTTTACCAGCCTGGAACATATCCCTGTCCCTATACTGGGCACCTCCTCATCACGATGCCAATCTTAGGGATTCCCTTATTTTTTGAGGGCGGATCCCTAAGATAGTCCTCGCCTTTGGGCGTATCAATCTTAGGGATAGGGATACGCTCGAGGCTGGTAATCAGTGGTCTCCCTGTTTGGTTGATCGGGCGTCTCTCTTTTCTTGGCCCCATGTGCATCGCGACGTGGCAGGCGTGGCACGTGCGCACACCCGAGAGCGGGGACATATTTGCCCGTTCGCACCGAGAGTCGGCAGATTGCCTGTTTGGTGGCTTGGACTTCTCCTCCGCCCTCTCCTCCTCCTCCTCCTCCTCCTCCTCCTCCTCCTCCTCCTCCTCCTCCGCCACCTTCTCCTTCTTCTCCTCCGCCCCCTCCTCCTCCTCCTCCTCCGCCTCCTCCTCCTCCTCCTCCTGCTGCTCCTCCTCCTCCTCCTCCTGCTGCTCCTCCTTCTCCTCCTCCTGCTCCTCTTCTTCCTCCTCCTCCTCTGCCCCTGTGCGTTCAAAGCAAGTTGTGAGAATGTCTCGAGCAAGGTGCTTGCTTCAGCGCCCCGAAGGAGGGGCCGCCCGTTCGCACCCATATTGTGGGGATGTCTCATGCGGGCTGCCTGTCTGGTGGCTTGGACCGCGGTGCTTCCAGGACAGATTGTCAGGATGTCTGAAGGGAGGCGCTGTTTGCAGAACCCCGCGGAGGAGCCGGCAGGGGGGAGGACATCTGCCCGTTCGCGCTCAGGTTGTGGGGATGTCTCAGGCGGTTTGCCCGTTTGGTGGCTTGGACGTCGGTGCTGCCAAGGCAGATTGCAAGGATGCCTGAGAGTCTGGAGCGAGGCGCTGGTTTCAGCACCCCGGGCGGCCAGTTTGTGGGTGGATCCGTCGAGCGAGGCGCTCGGTGTTGCACCTCCGACCCCTGTCCTGTCGGATCCCCAGGACCACTTCGATGTAGGGAAACGAGCCGCCGCCAGGACGGAGGAGGGATGCTGGACGAGGAGGAAGGGAGGAGGAGGACGCAGGAAGAGGTAGAAGGGAGGAGGGAGGAAGGGACAGCAGGGGGTACCACGATTCGAATGAGGAAGTAGAGGGGAGGCGGCCTGCTCAACTATTGTCTTTCTGTGAGTCGTCGTCGTCGTCGTCCCTCATCGTAGCCGACGTCGTCGTCGTCGTCGTCTTCGTTGTCGTTGGCGTCGTACCCGTCGTCCACTCGGACTCGCTCTCACACCCAGGCGCTCACGGCCCCACACTCACAGCCAGACGCGCCAGGAATCGAGGGACCTCCGCGTCGAGTCATTGTTAGATCTGTTTTGGTCTGATGTGTATTCTTGCGGATCTTCAAACAATTCCTCGGCAACGTCCAGTCAGATTCCACCGTGCGTTTCCAGTTCCGTTCAGTCCCGCCCAGACTCCTCCCGATAGGTCTGCAACCCACCCAGGCTCAATGGATCTGGACGTCTCCTGCGAACGATACACTTCCTGAGCGCAGAACTGAAGCCGATGCAGTTGTGGGCAGCGTAGTGGCTGGGCCTTTCATCGCAGGATGCGGACTGCGGGAAGGAATCTCAAGGAGGCATGCGGAAAGCATGGTGACGTGTCCCCGGCTCGAGGAGCAAGGGGAGGTGAAGGCAGCAGACACGGGGGCGCCAAAGGGAGCAAGGTAGACGGGCGCCAGATGCACACCCGTGCATATCTGGTTCCACCCGTGTGAGGGGTGTGCAGATTTGGGTCGAGCGCTGCGTACTCACACCCTCACGTGGGTGCAGACCCTTTCTGCAAACGAAACGCATGAGGGGCGTGCCGAATTGAGTGGGTGATCGCATGCATGCACCTCCCCTGAGGCTGTAGTTGGAAGTCCAAACGGAGGGGGGGGCGGATGTGGCACGATGCATGTAAGGGATGTGCAGATTTGGGGCGGATGACCTGCTCCTTCGCCCCAACTGGGGACGTGATGTGTGACGGGCGTGCCGAGTGAAGGCGGCTACCGCGTACCACCAGCCCCGCGTGGTCTTTAGACGGAGCTCCCAGGAGGAAGGCCCGAAGCATATGAGGGTTGCACCACATGCGGGCAATAATCATGTCCACGTCCAGTGCGTCTTGGAGTTATCGTCTCTCTTCCCCAGAAACCGGAGGCGCACTGGATAACAATCTGGCCCCAACAGGCTCGATTTTGATCCAATTCCAGTGCGCCTCGGCATTGCGGCACCCCTTCTCGAAAAGTCCAAGACGCTCTGGATATGGATGTAAGTATTGCGCGCGCCATGCTCGCACTCTCTTTCGGGCTGGGCTTCGAGCTCCCCAGGATGCACGGTGCGCGCGACGGGCGTGCGGAGACTGGGAGAGCGGCGTCGCAGCTGCGCGCCCCCAGCGAGGTGGTGTTTGCAGCTCCCCACGGGGCGCGGAGCGAGCGAGGAGCGCCGCCGAATGGAGGCGGCGGTCGCCTGGTCGCATGCACGCACGCCTCCAGTGGAGCTGCATTGGGGGATTCCTGGGGGGACACGAGGCGCGCGAGGGGCATGCATACATGGGGGCACATAAGCGGGCGCGCGTTCCCACCCCCAATGGGGGGCATGTGTGGGATTCCTGCTGAGGCACGAGGCGTGTGATGGAAGTGCTGGCACGGAGGAGGCGGCCGCCTACTCGCACCCCTCACTGGGGCTGCAGTTGAAGCCCCCGGGTGGGGGCGGGGCACGCGTGATGGAGCGTGCTGGGTGGAGGCGACGGCCGCGCATTGACACCACCCACCGCGGGCTTTAGCTGGAGGCCCTGGCGTGCAGCACGCAGCACGCATGCGGGGTGCGCCAAGATCGGCCGACTCGGGCGCACGAGCAGCACGGGCAGCGGCAGGCAGCGGCTAGGAGCAGCAGCGGCTGCGCCGGCTGGCAGCACAGCGTCAGCAACAGCAGCGGCAGCGGCGGCTGGCAGCGGCAGCAGTAGCGGCAAGATGCAGCAGGATGCAGCGGCCAGCGCAGCAGCAGCACCGGCGGGAAGGGTTCGGAGGCGACACGTGGCGGGAGATGAGGAGCCGCGCGTCGCAGCGAAGAGAGAGGGAGTGCCAACGTCCACAGCAGGGTGGGGGCCTTGAGTGTTTCTGCAGCTGCCCAGACGCAGTGCACAGAGAATGCCATGTGATTCCCGCGCGGCACCAGCCATGGAGCAGCTTGGTTGGGGCAGCGTTGGTTTGACACGTATTGGTCGGTTGGGCTCGGTTGGACGGGGCGCAGTCGGAGTTCAGTGCCGGGTCGCTTACTAGTGCATCTCTCTGGCCGCATTCTTCATTCCACAATGTTCCCGTGCTCCCGCTCGGGGAGGCGGCCTCCAAGAACTTGCCGCCAGTCTCGAGCTTCGGAGACGGAGGAGACTCAGGCAGACCGCCAGCCTGCAAGAGAGTAGGATCAGATGCGCTCGCAGATTGACGTATTCACCAGTGGAGCATGGAGGGGGGAGGGGAGGGGAAAAAGGGGGGGGGGAGGTGGCGGAAGCGCAGGAGGCGGAAACGCACGATCGCAGTGGAAGCGCCGAGGATTGGTTCGGGGGGCAGGCCGATGGGACATAACAAGGTTGACGATCTGGCAACTGAGGATGCTATTGAGGATGATGGGGGAAGGATGACACGAGCACGGGTAAGCAGGGCGGTTCCAGGGAGTCTGCGGGGGACGGGTATACCCAGGGATGCTGTGCGCGGGGGAGTGCACCACAAGTGGAATGTACAGTATGAGCTAGATGTGCGATTGCCAACCCAGCAGTCTTCAACATTCGAGACCTCTAGTCACTGTCGTCGGCTTGAGCGATCTCCCAGACAGCACAATACAGTGGTTTGACGTCCAGGGGAATCATGGCGGGAAGAGTTCTTAGTGCAGTTGCGGGCAATTTGTTAGCTGCGACTTAGACCGCACTGTGACATGCCAAGGATCCCCAATCAGCACCTGGAGGCTCAAACACATCCCTCCCATCCGCTTTACGTGCTCCAGGTTTCATAGGCCTCTGGACTGCGTTGGAGATGGAAGGATCTTGGTTGTAGAACATAGACGGTTTGCCTGGCTTGCTCAGCACACATGGCGACCAGGAGAAGGCCGATGAGGTAGAGGAGAAGAAGTGTGATTTGACGTGATTGTTGTGGGTCGCCTTCGCCCTGTTAGTGGGCCCAGTTCCCTGGGGCCACAACCCTGTAGGGCACGGTGGACGCAGGCGTCCAGCATAACAGAGAAAGTAGGATCATGGGGAGGGAGGGGGAAAGTCATTAAGGGGAAGGAGGCGAGGAGCCTGGTGTGTATAATACGGGGTGCACGGCTTGATCTGCCCAGCAGGCTCTGAAGGCGAGGTGGGGGATCCAGGACGGACCCCGAGAGTGGTGGGGTTTGCCGGCGGCCCTGTGCGCGCCTGTGTGGAGGAGCGTGGCCACTGCCAGCTCTGCGCTGTCCCCAGAGAAGCTGGCGGCAGCCCCCGCTCCCCCAGCTCCCGCCCGATGGCCTTCGCGCCGGCGCAGGCCTTTCCCTCTGACTGCGGCGGCCGCCCGCCGGGGAGGCGGGTGGCCCCGTAGGCCACGGGGGGGCCGGCCCCGCTGGCCCGACATGTGCACGACACCCCGGGGCCGCAGGGGAGGCCTGGACGCCCGAAATGGGTACGGAAAGAAACAGGTACAATGCCCAACAGTTACCTGTTCAAAATACAGGATTCGCTGTCCACGCCGCCGCGGCCTGTGTCCATTCGAGACAGAAGGCCGCCTGCCCAACAGCGGCCGCTGTTGGTTTGGGACAACATTTGTTGTCGGGCATTGTACTCATTGTTTCCGTACCCATTTCGGGCGTCCAAAGGAGGGGGGGGGGGGAGACGCGTCCATTGACGACCCTACCGTCGAGGCGCTGGAAGCAAGGGCCGCCCTGGGCTCTGGAGTGGCCGTGGTGTTCGAGGCGTTCCTTTGGGTCGTCCAGGTCGGGGACCCCCCTTCCTGGCCGGGGGCTGGCCGTGGCCGGCTGAGCCCATTGGTTCCCTATATGGAGCGCTCTCCAGGGCAGCGCGGTGGCTGCACGGCAGGGGGGTGGCAGGACTGGCACGGTGAGAGCCCTGCCAGGTGTGCAACGCAAGCGACGCAGCGCAGTAGCATTCGACCGTGCACCGCGCCAAGCCGCAGTGGGGATGTGCGGGATCTGCTTCCCCACCCGCGCGGCAGTTGCATGCTGTTGAACGTTGGATGCGGCGCCGCAGTTGAGAAATAACCCGCCCCTTCACTGTCTGACTGTTAGACATGTTGAAGCATGGCGCACTGAGATGCAAGGACGATTCAAGCGAAAGCGCGGTTTTGATAAGGAACGCCCCCCGCCACCCTTGTGACGGTTGACGAATACACGTTTCGGACCGCAGAATGCACGTGAGGCTCAGGGGAGAACCAGTGTGACAGGTGTAAAGGAGCAGCCTTTCGTCAGTGTACCTGTTTCGCTTCTCTAAACTTTTAGGGCCATCTATTCCCGTTTGTCCGCAGGTGATTACGAGTTTTGACAAGGAGTTGCCGGTCATACGGGTAGCTGTTGGACCATTCCACGTCAAGATAGAATAATCTGTAAATATCAGGAGAGGACAGCTTATGCAAAAGGACCTACCATCCATTCGTGCAGCTCGAGATTAATATTCAAGCGACATCCAGGAGGGGGAGAACATTCACCGTTAATGCATATAACTGTTGAGTTTCCCCACTACCAGGGTCATTCTCGAGGACCTGTCAAGCGAGAGCGTGATGAGCCCAGGCGTGCAAGACAGACACCCACCGCCAAGAAACTAATCGAAAACTTCAGATATTTGTCTTCGAACCTCGAGGAACTGAATTGAAACGCCGTGTCTCTACGACACATCGGTTGCAGTGCGGGCGCAGCGGCCAAGATGACGTCTCGTCTGTCCTAGTCGTCGCAGTCGTGTGGCAAACGCGTGTCGCTTGATCATTGCTTTCCAGGCCAGCAGTGTACGTCCCCTCGGTCCTCGATGTCCAGGGGCAAAATTTGGGGGGAGATGCGGGACATAAGCGCTCCAGAGATGGCCTCACTTGCGGCGCATCCTCGCCGTGGGCGGAAGCTGGCGGCTCGCTCGAGCTGGCTAGATCAAGTCTTCTCGGTCCACATACCGATGCACCCGCATCCGCGGCCTGCCAAACTCAGCGCCCCGCAAGCACCAAGGCACTGACGATGTTTTTGTCCGCTCAGCGTTGACGTCTTGGGCCCGGTGCAATCGAGCGTGGCAGGAATGCGGCGGTGCGCACATCGCACGCGACAGGGCGACATGGCGCTCTCGCCTCGTTGCCTCGTCGCCGCGCTCCCTGAGAGTGGAGCTCTCGCCCGGGCGCGGCGCACATTCTTCGCCCGCCGATGCGCCGGCAAGGGGTCGCGCGCGAGCGTGCGACCTTCAGCTTGAGGTCGGGCCTGCCCATCTAACAGGAGGAAGATTCCAAACTAGTCCAAAATTGGTATGGGGGACGATTTTGGGAATATTTGCTGCCCATTTCGAGGTACTTTGGGGTATTTTTATTTCTCGTCCAAAATCTGGGGGACACGCCCACTCTAAGACTTTGTCGCTTTCGTCAGCGCTCCGCGCAGATCTCACCCGAAGGTGGCGCTCCCTCCGCGGCGCGCGGCGCATCCCTCCGCGGCGCGCGGCGCTCCATTGGGAGCGGGGCCGCGCGCGCGCGCGGACGAAAACCGGTGTCTTCGCCCAAGCACGGGGCAGATTTCGCATCCTTTTACTCCTCCTCCTCCTCCTCTTCCTCCTCCTCCTCCTCCTCCTTCATCCTCCTCCTCCATCCTCCTCCTCCTCCCTCCTTCTCCTCCCTCCTCCTCCATCCTCCTCCTCCCTCCTCCCTCCTCCTCCCTCCTCCTCTTCCTCCTCCTCCCGGGCGCCCGAGTCCCCCGAGGGCGGCGGCGGGAGAGCGGCGGCGGGGCCGCTCGTGCGAGAGGTGTGGTTTTCGCCCCTGCGCCGGGCAGAGCTCGCGCGGAAGTGTTAGTGCTCGCTCTGGCAGCAGGATCATCGGCCACGCGTGTATTCCAAATCCCTTACTGATCGACCCCCCCTAAAAAACTGGACCCCCTTCCAAATGCGACCTAATATTCTGGCCCCCCCTCTTCGACGGGGCGCCTTAATAAACTGGACCCCCTAAGCTCCAATCCAAAGAAAGCGCCCTAATAAACCAGACTCCCCTAATTACAAAAAAGGCGTCTTAAAAGACCGGACCCGGGGGACGATTAATAAGGGATTTGGGGTACGAGTGGCCCTTCGCCGGAGTGACTTTACGGGGGTCCCCGCGGCACTGGCTGCCGCGTTCGAATTCGGCCTCGCCGTTGTCCCCGAAAGCAGCGCACCAAAGGTCACTCTTGCCCAGGGTCACTCTTTGCGTGTAGTCGAGCTTCCAATCGAGTCTGTGTGTCCGACGTGCCAGATTTCCTGGCACGTAATTCTATGTAACGTTGTTGAATTCACGGCGAGGCCACATTTTTCGGGCCGCATTGGACCATGACTCTCCGCGCGGGCACAGAAGGGAGAGTGGTAAAAGAAGAGCAGTAATGCTTCGGCGCGGCCCTCGCATTGTCTTGGCCACTCTCATCTGGAATTTGGCAGCGCCTCCGAAGGCTAATGGTGTTCTCGCTTCAGCACCGACGCGATAAACGAACAGCTAAGCGCTACGGCTGTGGGTCCGCTGGCGAAAGGCGTCGGCATTTTTGGGGTTCAGCTTTTTTTGGAGTTCGACAAATGGGGTGCGAGTAGATGGGGTCAGAGGATCGCGCCGCATCGTCGGTGTGGCTCGGTCTGGAGCTCGATTCGCTCCATCTCTCCAGCTCGAGTCTCTCCATCACGACTCTCTCCACCAGCGCGGAATCCGACTAAATCTACTCCAGCCCAGTTTGGGCGGCCCCAGACCCCGGGCGTCGTGTTTTCTCACAGCGTGGATTTCCAGAGGTGTTGAAATCACTCGCCGGGACCAGCTTTTCGTCCCGCGTCGTTTTTGGACGGTCCTGGGGCCCCGTGGGAACCCCCAGATATTGATAATTGCGCAAATTTCTGCGCGGACGAAAGAAAATGGGGTCATAAAAGGGGGATGTAAATTCGTTTTCGCAGCAAGTATGTATCAATGAGAGAAGTGTGGATTTGAATTCAACCAGGATAAAGTAGTTCAACATGATATTCCGATTGGCGACAGAAATTGTAAGCCTATTTGCATGCCGATAATAGTATGCGAAGCCGTACGACGGCAAAGCTATTACGGAGTTGGTCCGACGGTTTGGGTAATCGTTCAATTAATCGGAGCACTTTAAGCGGATATAGGCGCACCCGTCCATTCGGAAAGAACATGCGCATTAGCCAGCGTGAACCCCAAACAATGCGTTTCTAGCAATCTGTGTTGATCGATCGATGTCTATCAAAATTATTGCAGCAATCTACGTGGTGCTATATATATATATATATATATGTATGTGGTGCCACCTATAGTGTGCAATCTATGCGGGGCAATCTAGGTTGTTCAAAATATGCGCTGTAGTCGATGTTGCCCCATATATGTTGTCCAACTTGTTTGGTGCAATCGATGTGGTGCAACTGACTACCCTGCACCGCGCTTGACCACCTCCACTGCTCACGCAAACATCCCACCCACCCACCCGCAACTTGGTTTGCAAAACCTCTTAAGACCGTGACGGTGGGTTCCACATGGCACTTGGCAACGACAGCGACGCCGACGACGACAGCGACAACGACGAGACGACGACGCAGCCGACAACGACTACGACGACGCCGACGCCGACGACGACGACGACGATGACAACGACGACGATGACGACGCCGACGACGACGACAACGACGACACCGACGACGACGACGACGTCAACGACGCCGACCACGACGACGACGACGACGACGGCGGCGACGAGGACGACGCCGACGTCGACGACAAAGACGACGACGACGCCGACGGCAACGACGACGACGAAGACGACGACGACGTCGCCAACGTAGACGACGACGAGGGAGGAGGGAGGACGACGACGGCGACAACGACGACAACGACGAGGGAGGAGGGAGGACGGCGACGACGCGAACGACGACGAAGGAGGAAGGACGGCGACGCCGACGACGAAAACGACGAGGGAGGAGGGACGACGACGACGACGACAGCGACGACGACGACGACGACGGCGACGAAATAGGAGGGACGACGACGAGACGCCGACGACGGACGACAACGGAGGAGGAGGAAGGACGACCACGGCGACAACGACGACGGAAACGACCACGACGCCAGAGAGGACGACGACGACGAACACGAGGAAAGACAGAGGACGACGTAGGCGACGACGACTATGACGACGACGCGGGAGGAGGGAGGACGGCGACGACGACGACAACGACGACGCAAGATCGCGCGCGCACGGTTTTTGTTAACAATCCGTGTTGCGAAACCTTGTGTTTTATATGTTTTTTGGACACACGATTTTGAAATCCTTCCGAAGCCGGTGGGTTTTGAAGGATTTCGGCATACGCGCGCGACGACGCGCGCCTTCTCATTTCGCCCCATTTTTGCAAAGGATTCTCGCGACGGCACACGCGCAAGGGCGTTCGACAGATTTCGACATGCGCGCGCGAAGCCCGTTTGACAGCATTTTGTAAAAAAATGAGAGAGAAACAAAAACTATAGTTTTCTTGAGGTTTCGCAAGAGCTCGCGAGTAAGCTTTTTTAGCAAATCTGTATTGCGAAACCCTTTGGGAACTCGATTGCGAAATCCTTCCGACACCGAAGGGTTTCTGGAGGATTTCGGCATGCGCGCGCGACGACGCGCGCGTATGCATTTCGTCTCATATTTTGCAAGGGGTTCGTGGACAAGGCTTATGTTAGAACAAAACATGTCCCCGCGTATTTCTTTACAAGGGAACCTCAGGGGGACCGATCCCAGTTCCCCTGGGATAATGTAAATTCACATTTAGGATTGACATATGGTCATAATCATATATGATGCACATACCCGAAAGGGGGCGGATAACGCCGGGGGGGGGTAGAGACGATTCTCATTCTAGGAAGGATGATGTATGTTGTGCAGTCTATGTGTGGCAATTTCTGTGGGAGCATCTCTGCATCGACATCTAGCAAGCAATCCAAATCTAAACAAAGCAACGCAAGGCAATGCAACGCAACGCACCGCAAAGCAACACAAGGCATTGCACTGCAGCGCAAAGCAATGCGAGGCAATGCCATGCAACGCAACGCAAAGCAACACGGAGGAAGGCAAAGCAACGCAATGCAAAGCCACGCAGAGCAGTGCGAGGCAATGCAAAGCAAAGGAAACCAATGCAATGTAATGCAACGCAATGTTACGCAATGCAATGCAAAACTATGCACAACAATACGAGACAATGCAAAGCAATGCCTGGCAACGCGAAGTTACGCAAAGCAGTGCAAGACAATGCAAAGCAGCGCAAAGCAGTCTTTGTGATGCAATCGAACGGTGACGACGAGCGGCGACGGTGGCGACTGGGCGGCGACGGCGGCAAGATAGCCTCCAGACCGACGCACATTCACAGACGGTGGCAGGCGACGAGGCGGCGACGGGGCGGCGACGGCGGCAATCTAGCCGCCAGACCGACACACTAGCCCATTTTCTCAGGAGAGAAATAAGAATTCCTGAGCGCAACAGTGGCGTGATGACGCGAGCGTTGCCTACAGAATTAACCTGGATTCTGAAGGAGCGCCAGGTCGAACTGTAAAGTTGAATGGCCACGTAGACGCACCATTCCCTAATCAAATACTTATTGTGCGGTGCAGGCGGCGTTCCAATACAAACGGGCACGCCGCCGGGAACGAGGGCGTCCGCGACAACAGTGGGCGACATCAGTGTACGATTTGTCGTATGTTTGTTCGCCCGGCCCGTCATTCTTCTTGTCCTCCAGATGTGGAGCTAAGAGGCTGCTACTTCCCACGGGAAACTCGTTTTTCTTTATCGATTCCCTTGCCGACGCGTCCTGTTGGATGCATGGCGTTGTGTGTATACGAGTCCAGTTGCATGCATCATGTTTCGGCTTCACCGTCATGAGGCGGCGGAAAAAATGCAGCACGCAGCTGATTCGCTAATGCTCACTTCGCTATCCGCTTGCAAACGCGCCCGCCCGCTTGCAGACTTCGGCACCCGCAGCGACACGTTCAGCACGTTCCGTGCGAGAAGGGGATCCACATCGAGCCTGTTTCCGAGGTTCGCTTTTGCCTCTCTCCCTCTCTGGGGGTTGTCCGTTACTCTAGCGCGTTGCTCATTCCGCGGGCCCAGTTTGCATCCTCGTTGTCGTTTGCCCGTGTCCTCGAGGGGATATGGCAGTTGTTGAGTTATGGTTGTTTCCCTGAGCTGTCGTGCGGAGCCTGGGCTGACGGAAGCAGCCGCCTGGTGAACGCAGGGCAAAGCTCAGGCATCTGGTTTGTGCCGTAGGGCGCACGCCGCCCAGCAACCAAGAACACACACGCACACAAGTGCATATCTTTGTTATCACAAGCAGTAGGACCAAAATGCCTCAGTGCGCGAGCGGTTGGTTGATTGTGGAAGCGGCAGCTCCATTTCTGACGTGGGGGGTTGACGCCCCTGCTCCACTCCTCCCGGCACGGGATGCCTCAGAGTAGTCGTTCTCAGAGTGAGGGGGCCGAACGGTCATTCGTTGTCCCTGCGTGCGTGGCGGAATAAGGGATTCCTGGTGAGAATTTCTGTGTGTTGCGTTGTTGGTGTTGTTGGTGTTGTTGTTGTAAGTGTTGTTGTTGTTGTTGTTGTCGTCGTCGTTGTTGTTGTTGTTGTTGTTGAATATTATTACTTCTAAAGAAATATTATTGTTGAGACCCCTGGTGCGCGACCCCCCTCCAAAACCTAGGCCGCAGCCTCATTTCCTTCATTTTCTAGCGAAAGCTTCAGAAAAGTGGATTGTCACCGGATCCGGTTGTTTTGTTGTAATCCGTTTTCCCTTGCAAAAAACACTATAAAATGAAAATTCTTGTTCTTACTTGATCAAATTGCAAGAATCCCTTGCAAAAAATAAGGTAAAGTGGACATTCGTGCGCGCAAGACGAAATCCTTCCAAAACCTTAGGTTTCGTAACGATTTTAACATAAAAACATCAAAAACCCAATGGTTTTTTAAGAAAAAATTGTCAAAATGTCCTTCCGCGCGCGCTGTCCGAATCCCACAAAACCAATGGTTTTTCAACATTTATGTTACATGAGCTCGCGCGAGCTACTTTTTCTTGTTCTAACATAATCAAATTTCAATAATCCCTTGCAAAAAATAAGGTAAAGTGGACATTCGCGCGCGCAAGACGAAATCCTTCCAGAACCTTAGGTTTCGTAACGATTTCAACATAAAAACATCAAAAACCCAATGGTTTTTCAAAAAAAAATGTCCAAATTTCATCCCGCGCGCGCTGTCCGACTCCCACAAAACCAATGGTTTTTCAACATTTATGTTACATGAGCTCGCGCGAGCTACTTTTTCTTGTTCTAACATAATCAAATTTCAATACTCCCTTGCAAAAAAAAGTAAAGTGGACATTCGCGCGCGCAAGACCAACAAAAAACACGACGATCTCAGGAACTTGCCCCAAAAATGTGACCAACTCCGCTCTCTCTGTCTCTCTCTCTGTCTGCTCTCTGTCTCTCTCTCTGTCTGTCTGTGTCATGTATTGTATGTCACAATTGCAGGATGCTGGGCACACGCGCGCCCCGAATAAGTGACCAAGTTCTGTGGGTGTGTACCCCACGCCAGTGTAGTAGCCACGGTCGTCCGCACGCCACGAAGTGAAGTGTCCCAACGTCATAGGGCGGGAAGCTGGGTTTGGGTGGTCGCGAAGAGTCGTTTGGATATTTGGTAGAGCTTGAACTGCCCCCCCACGAAGTGGGGGTATTGTCTCGCGTCGCATGAAAACCCTGGCACTGGTGAGAACACTGAGCGTTCGGGTAAAATGATTGTTGTTGTTGTTGTTGTTGTTGTTGTCTGCTGTTGCTTGTTGCTTGTTGTTGTTGTTGTTGAGGTTGTTGTTGTTGTTGTTGTCGTCGTTGTTGTTGTTGTTATTGTTGTTTTTGTTGTTGTTTGTTGTTGTTCGCTGTTGTTGTTTGTTGCCGTCGTCCCACCCGCGACCCACCCGCGACCCACCCCGCGACCCACCCGCGACCCACCCTGCGACCCATCCGCGACCCACCCGCGACCCACCCCGCGACCCACCCCGCGACCCACCCGCGACCCCCCGCGACCCACCCCGCGACCCACCCGCGACCCATCCTGCGACCCATCCGCGACCCACCCGCGACCCACCCGCGACCCATCCGCGACCCACCCCGCGATCCACCCGCGACCCACCCCGCGATCCACCCGCAACCCATCCGCGACCCACCCTAACCCACCCGCGACCCACCCGCGACCACCCCGCGACCAACGCGACCCCCGCGACCCATCCGCGACCCACCCGCGACCCACTCGCGACCCACCCCGCGACCCACCCGCGACCCACCCCGCGACCCATCTTCCTCAAGGGAGGAAAAACCACGCGGACCCGACAATTGACGTTTATTCAACGGCTTTGGGCGTTTACTACACAGCCCTGCCCTGTTCGATTCATTCCATGCGTGCGTTTACTAAACGGCTTCGCTTGTCGGTATGATTATTGTGGGGTGGATTTCCTGCCCTCTACACACGCGACCCAACAGCGACCCACCCGCGACCAACCCGCGACCCATCTGCGACCCATTAACGACCCACCCACATTGGTTTAACGAAAAAAAGTGGCACTCATTGTTTAAATTGTGAAACGTTGGCGCCTGCGGCGGGCTTCTCCAGAGTCTCGCAATCTGCCGACGTCCCCACCGCCCCCTCATTCTTATCTGGATCTGCGGGGTGCTACGTATTTTTCCGCAACACGCCTGCGAAGGGAAATTGATTGCTTCGCGCGCATCTGGGGCCCGCAATGGGTCGGCCGTTTCTGGGCGTCCGCGAGCGTCCGTGCGCGACTTCGCATCAGCGCGCCATGTTGCGTTGAATCCGTGCTCCCCCGCTTTGGTCGGGGGCCGGGTCTGAGGGGAGGGGGGAGAGAGGAGGGGGGAGCGGCGAGGAACGTGAGGGAGGGATGAGGGTGAATGGGGAGGAGGAGTGGCGCGAAAGAGACAGGGTGGTTGGATGAGGCAAGAGGGCGGCGGGCGGATGACGAAGGGTGGCGGCGTGCACTTCGACCTCTCGTCACACGGATTTTGTCGGGAGGGCCCCTTTGAGGAGTGGAGGTTCTTGAGGGGCGAAGTGCTTCGATGCCGCCTTGTGCCAGGGGCTTCCTCGGGGGGGCCACTGTGTTGGGTGCATGCGGCCTTCCTGCACCCTCGGAGGGACAAGGTCGCCGCCTGGTTTGCCAGCGCCCCGATCTGAGGGCGGCGCCCCTCTCGCGGGGTCGGTGCCGGCGTCGCGCCTGAGCCCCTCTGTGTTCCGCAGCGCGGCCCAGGCGGAAGCCCAAGCCAGAACTGGCCAGTCGTTTTCAGTGGGATTCAAGTCGTACGGGCTTCCATTCAGGTGTCGATGCAGATTTCCATTCTGCTGCGCGCCAGTTTTTGGATCGATATCAGCGAGGGTTTGGGGGAGGGTACCGCGGGGTGCCCTTTGGGGAGGGTGGTTTCTGTGCTAAAAATATGTTTCAGGGTGATGATCGAAATTGGCGTCAAAACTGACGCCCAATCTGTGGCCAACATTGTGGCGCAACTCTAGTCGGGCGCATGGGGGCACGTGGAGCTAAGTACACATGTATACGCATTATATGCATATATGCATATACACGTGAATGTGTTTGGTCACGCGATCATGTATATATATATGTGTAAATATATATTTACATATAGATAAACATATATACATATATGTACATCTAGACATGCACACACACATGTATACATATGTATACATATGTATGTATATATGTACATACCTTTGATTGCACGTATGTGGCTCACAAACGAGTCCACAATATATTTTGCACCTCATGGGTTGCTCCACGAATAACTGGACAGTGCAGATTGCACAACATGGATTGCTAGAGCCACTGTTTCTGGCCTGCGCTGGCTGACATTTCAATGCAGAGATTTCGAAGGAGGTAGAGGGTACCCCACTCAATGCAACGCAGCACGGTGGCGGATTGTTGGGAGTGGAGCACCTGAGAAACCGTTGCAGACCGGTCCCGGTCAGTATCAGGGGCATGTTGGGAGGTACTCGGGCTTTGTTCGGTTTTTTTGTTCCCAACCATCCTGTGGTGTTGGGTCCTCGTTTTGAAGAGACGGCGCCCCGCGTTCCTCACCTCCTCCTCCTCCCCCCCCCCTCCCTCCTCCCATCATCATCATCATCATCATCATCATCATCATCATCATCATCATCATCATCATCATCATCATCATCATCATCATCATCATCATCGGCACACCCCTCACACGTTTCGTGGCCCCATAGGGAGCTCCACCGAAGGCCCCAGTGGCAGGGTTCGCATGCCTCCCCACCACCCATTTCGGCACACCCCTCACACGTTTCGTGGCCCCATAGGGAGCTCCACCGAAGGCCCCAGTGGCAGGTTTCGCATGCCTCCCCACCACCCATTTCGGCACACCCCTCACACGTTTCGTGGCCCCATAGGGAGCTCCACCGAAGGCCCCATTGGCAGGGTTCGCATGCCTCCCCACCACCCATTTCGGCACACCCCTCACACGTTCGTGGCCCCATAGGGAGCTCCACCGAAGGCCCCAGTGGCAGGGTTCGCATGCGTCCCCACCACCCATTTCGGCACACCCCTCACACGTTTCGTGGCCCCATAGGGAGCTCCACCGAAGGCCCCAGTGGCAGGGTTGGCATGCCTCCCCACCACCATAGGCGCTTTCGTGGCCCCATAGGGAGCTCCACCGAAGGCCCCAGTGGCAGTTCGCATGCCTCCCCACCACCCATTTCGGCACACCCCTCACAACACCCCCATGCCTCCCCACCACCCATTTCGGGTTCGTGGCCCCATAGCTCCACCGAAGGCCCCAGTGGCAGGGTTCGCATGCCCCACCACCCATTTCGGCACACCCCTCACACGTTTCGTGGCCCCATAGGGAGCTCCACCGAAGGCCCCAGTGGCCGCATGCCTCCCCACCACCCATTTCGGCACACCCCTCACACGTTTCGTGGCCCCATAGGGAGCTCCACCGAAGGCCCCAGTGGCAGGTTCGCATGCCTCCCCACCACCCATTTCGGCACACCCCTCACACGTTTCGTGGCCCCATAGGGAGCTCCACCGAAGGCCCCAGTGGCAGGGTTCGCATGCCTCCCCACCACCCATTTCGGCACACCCCTCACACGCTTCGTTGCCCCATAGGGAGCTCCACCGAAGGCCCCAGTGGCAGGGTTCGTATGCCTCCCTACCACCCATTTCGGCACACCCCTCACACGTTTCGTGGCCCCATAGGGAGCTCCACCGAAGCCCCAGTGGCAGGGTCCGCATGCTTCCCCACCAATCATTTCGGCACACCCCTCACACGCTTCGTGGCCCCATAGGGAGCTCCACCGAAGGCCCCAGTGGCCTGGTTCGTATGCCTCCCCACCACCCATTTCGGCACATCCCTCACACGCTTCGTGGCCCCATGGACATTTCCACTGAAGGCCCCAGTGACTGGGTTCGCGTGCGCCCCCACACCCATTTCGGCACACCCATCAGACGCTTCGTGGCACCATAGGGAGCTCCACCGAAGGCCCCAGTGGCTGCGTTCGCATGCCGCCCCCACACAAATTTCGGCACACCCCTCACACGCTTCGTGGCCCCATAGGGAGCTCCACCGAAGGCCCCAGTGGCTGCGTTCGCATGCCGCCCCCACACCAACTTCGGCACACCCCTCAGACGCTTCGTGGCCCCATAAGGAGCTCCACCGAAGGCCCCAGTGGCAACGTTCGCATGCCGCCCCCACACCCATTTCGGCACACCTCTAAAACGGTTCGTGGCCCCATAGGGAGCTCCACCGAAGACGGTACTCACACCAGCATTACTCACAACTGCATATGGTTGGGTCCTTCGCCAGGCTAATTCTCACATGTTCCGTGGGGTTCTGGTTTTCATCCCTGCCGCGTCGCACCCGCGTCTCCCGCACACACACACACACACCTCCCCTCTCTCCTCTTTCCTCCCCTCCTCCATTTCCCTCCCCATATGATTAGTGGGGCTCTGGTTTTCTTCCCCACATGTTTCGTGGGGTTCTGGTATTCCGCACAGGTTTCGTGGGTTCTGGTTTTCTTCCCTGCCGCGTCTCGCCCGCGTTCCTTCTCCTCCTCCTCCCTCTGCGTCTCGCGCCCACATGCCCACATCACGTGCGACACACGCCCACATACAGCCGCACACGCAGCGGAGGAGGAGGTACAGGCCTGACCGCATGACACTCGCCAGCAGACGCACACCTTACAACACTCGCACACACACCATACAACGCTAGTGCACGCCTGGCGTGTTCACTGCACCATACACCCAAGACGCATGCACAACATACTGGGCACCCACATGAGGCACGCGTCCCGATACGGCCGCACACGAATATTACACATACACATGATATGCGTTATACAAGACGTGAATGTAGGATTCACAGTGCATGGCAAGAGGTTCGATGCGGGCCATGGTACAGGTCACGGCAGGCGTGGCGCTTTCTCGGCACCAGAGGGGGTGCGCAGGAGGTGGTCTCTGAGCGCGGCCGCTATCCGTGACAGTCGTCCAGGGCATAGCAGGCATGGCAGATTCTCGACACCACAGGGGGTGCGCAAGGGGTGGTGTCCGAGTGCGGCCGCTATCCGTGACGGTCGTCCAGGGCATAGCAGGGATGCCCCATTCTCGACGCCATACGGGGTGCGCAGGGGGAGGTCTCTCAGGGCGGCCTCTATGCCTGCCAGGGTCGGAACGCGTGGCAGGCGTGGCACTTCCTCGACACCACAGGGGGTGCTCTGGGGTGGTCTCCCTATCCGTTGCGAACTCGCAAAGCGTGGCAAGCGTGGCATATTCTCGACACCATAGGGGGTGCGCAGGGGGTGGTCTCTCACCGCGGCCGCTACCCGTTACGGTCGTCCAGGGCGCAGCCACCATGGCATTTTCTCGACACTATAGGGTGTGCGCATGGGGTGGGCTTTGAGGGCGACCGCTATGCGTGACGGTCGTCCAGGGCACAGCAGGCATGGCAGATTCTCGACACCAAAAGGGGTGCGCAGGGGTTGGTCTCTCGCCGCGTCCGCTACCGTGACGGTCGGCCAGGGCATAGCTGGCATGGCACATTCTCGACATCATAGGGGGTGTGCACGGGGTGGTGTCCGAGTGCCGCCGCTATTGGTGACGGTCGTCCAGGGCATAGCAGGGATGGCACATTCTCGACGCCATACGAGGTGCGCGGGGGGTGGTCTCTGAGCGCGGCCGCTATCCGAGCCGGTCGTCCAGGCCACAGCAGGCATGGCATATTCTCGACACCATAGGGGGTGCGCACGGGGTGATGTCCGAGTGCGGCCGCTATTCGTGACGGTCGTCCGGGGCATAGCAGGGATGGCACATTCTCGGCGCCATACGAGGTGCGCAGGGGGTGGTCTCTGAGCGCGGCCGCTATCCGAGCCTGTCGTCCAGGCCACAGCAGGCATGGCATATTCTCGACACCACAGGGGGTGCGCAAGGGGTGGTGTCCGAGTGCGGCCGCTATCCGTGACGGTCGTCCAGGGCATAGCAGGGATGGCACATTCTCGACACCGTAGGGGGTGCGCACGGGGTGGTGTCCGAATGCGGCCGCTATCCGAGCCGGTCGTCCAGGGCATATAGCAGGGATGGCACATTCTCGACGCCATACGGGGTGCGCAGGGGGTGGTCTCTGAGCGCGGCCGCTATCCGAGCCGGTCGTCCAGGGCATAGCAGGCGTGACATACTCTCGACACCATAGGGGGGGTGCAGGGCGTGGTCTCTGAGCGCGGCCGCTATCCGAGCCGGTCGTCCAGGGCGTAGCAGGCGTGGCACCTTCTCGACGCCATTGGGGGGTTGCAGGCCGTGGTTTCTGAGCGAGGCCGCTATCCGAGCAGGCGTGGCATGTTCTCGTAACCTTAGGGGGTCCGCAGGTGGTGGTCTCTGAGCGCGGCCGCTATCCGAGCGGGTCGTCCAGGGCGTAGCAGGCGTGGCACTTTCTCGACACCACAGGGGGTGCGCAGGGAACGGCCACCAACATCATCCTCACGTGCTTCACTTCAGCTATCATCACTCCAGCCATCGAATAAGTATGTGGGGTTCCTCGGTAGCGTAATTGTTGTTTTCTTCCTGCCAGTTCTCTCTTTCTCTCTCTCTATGTCTCTTTCTTTATCTCTCTTTGTCCCTCCCTCTCTTTTCCATCCCTTTTCGTTCCCTCTTTCCCTTTCTGCAGGATCTCATCCAGCGGGGCGCTGGACATGCCGTCGAGGCGGAATTCCATGCCCGACGTCGGCATGGTGCCGGAGAGAGTGGCCGGCCCTGACAGGACTTCTTCTTGGGGAGAGAGGGAAGGAGGGAGGGAAGTGGAGGGGGCACGGAGGCGTGAGGATGGGCGACGGAGGATGGGGAATGGAAGAGTGGGGAGGGAGAGACAGGGAGAGACAGTACATTTGGCGCGACCCCATCGGCGTTGTCCTTGTTACTTGGGGCAGCCTGAAGGCAGGTTGGATATAACATGAACGACCTGTTCATTGGTTGTGATATAGGTTGGGAGGGCTGGAACGCATTGCACTTGCGAGTGTGTTTCGTTGCTGTCCTCCGCTTGCTTTTCCTTGCTCTGCATTGTCCCGGCCTTCTGTGTTGGTCCCCGTGCTGAGCAGTGCTAACCCGTTGCAGATGTTTATGATGATTCTGCCAAGGTGCGTATGTGAATAGGGGTGCGCGGCGATGTTGCGTCGAAGCAATGGGCCCCTGAGCGCAGAAACCGCTCGAAGTCGTGACAAAAAACGGCGCGTAGTGAGTTCCAGAGGACGTTGAGTAAATGATTTTTGCAGCCAGGGCCAATGGGGTGAGCTCACCCCCATAAGCGGAGTGTTGTGTGGGAAGCGCTGCCGGCGTGCACCGTCGGTCTTGGGGTATATTAACAATTGCTCTAACTAGAGGATGCGGGGCGCGACCGCGGACCAGCACGGCAGACTTCCACGCGACACCAACACAGTAGACCAGCACGGTAGACCATCGCGGCATACCAAGTCGGCAGACCAGCAAACGGCCGACCGGCACGGCATACCAGCATGGTTGACCACCATGGCAGAGCAGCACGGCTCAGACCAGCACGGCAGACCAGCTTTCCGTAGCCATGTTGGTTCAAGGCCATGGAGCACCCGACGACCGCGAGTCGTTCGCAGCGGTTCGAGCGCGAGGGTTTCCCCGCTTTGGGCCAAGTGAAGCATCCTGATCGCTCTCCTGTCCAAAGTTGTCTCGGCGCGCCTCGCATTGCGCGGCAGGTGCCATGCCGCGATCGGCCCCCGGCGGCTGGCGGAGGCATCAGGTACTAGTTGTGTAAAAGTGCCGCGGCTGGAACTTGGACTGGAGCAGCAGGTGCGTGGGCCGAGGGACGAGCGCGCCACCGTGGGCCAAGGGTGCCGAGCAGGCCCAGCGGGCCCCGCCGCCCAAGCCCAAGGCCGACAGTGGATGTTGGGTGCTGAGCAGCCGCGGGGTCGCCGAGCCCGCCGCCAGGCGCGCGGCCGCCAGGGCAGCATCCCAGGCCTCGGGGACCAGTACCAGCAAGGCCAGCGCTGGGACATGCACGCGGCAGGGCAGCCATTCGCCGTCCAGCGGAAGGTCCATGGAGGTCGAGCGGCTCCACGCATCCGTCGAGCAGCTGGAGGCGTTCCTGGCCGCACTGCCTAAGTGGGTCGCCGGCTGCTTCGCCGACATGGTGGCCAGCCAGCTGAAGATCAAACGCAGCGAACTGGACAAGGCCCGCCGAACCGCCGCCGAGGTCAGGTCAGAGGCGCTGCCCAGGGAGGCGCGCATGCGCAAGGAGGCTTGGGCAGCGGGGCGGACCGAGAGGAGGCTCAACGCCGCCCGAAAGAGCCTGGAGGAGGAGGGGCGCGCGGCGCGGGATGCGGCCGAGGCGCGCCTCCAGCAGGCGCGGGGGGAGCTCGCGACCTTCGACGGCGAGCTGGAGCCGTCCATCCGCGACCTCAGGACCCTCGAGGACGAGGCGCGCGACGCAGAGACGGCCAAAGAGCACCGCCGTGTCGCGGCATGGGCAGGGGCCGCCCAGACGCCAGGGGCCCTCACCCAGTTGGAGGGCCTGCGCGTGGCCTGGCAAACAACAACGTGGGCCACGGTCCTCACGCAGGTGGCGACGGTCCGCGAGCAGCTGGCTTGGCCGCCTCAGACCCGGCGCCGCAGGGCGCCGCGGGCCGAGGCGAGGGCATGGACCATGGAGGACTTGGTCAGCGAGACCGAGAACTCCTCCGACGAGCCGAAGGCCAGCGGCTCCTGGAGCCCACAGCCAGCCCGGGAGCGCAGACAGGCCGAGCGCTGGGGCGATGCGAGAGGCAGCTGGCCCCACGCCAACGAGGCCTGTGCGAAAAGGTCTGGCGGCCGAGGCCACGGATGATCGCCCTGTGGCTGCTTGCCCAGTGCGCGCGGGTGGCAGCGGCGGGGTAGGCGGCGCATCCGCGTCAGGGCCACCCTGTGCGTTGCCCGTGGGACGCAGACCTCAGCGCCGAGGCCGCCTGGCCCTGGGAGGCACGGCGCTCAGCCAATCAGCGCCGAGGAGCTCTCCCACTGCTGGCTCGCTGGGCACTGGGGGGCAGAGCGCAGCCTCAGCTCCGACCTTGGCGACCAGCTCGGCCTCTTCCAGATGGAACCGCGGGCGCTCGGCCTGGGTGCCGGGTTCGGTGGCGGGCGCGCGGCCGACGACGAGCTCGGCTGGGAGCCCTGCCCCAGCGGCCCCCACCTCGGGCCCAGTTGCGGGGCTCTGCGCAGATCGGGACGGGCCATCGGCCAACGCGACGACATCGGGATCCAGGCGCCCGCGGTGCACGGCTCGATGCCTCAGCCCGCAGCAGCAATCGGCCAGGGACGGGGGGAGTTTCGCCGTCGGCGCGATCGGCGGCCGCGCGGGTCCTGGCGACAGCGAGGTGTTCACCGACACCAGCTCCACTTCCCCCAGCAATGGGAACGGGCGCACCTGCGCCGCCACGCCGCGCAGGCCCCGACGCCCGCGCGCGGGGGAGGATCCACGCGGCGCGGGCGTCAGGGACCCGCGCCTTCCAGGCCCATCGCCCACTGCGGCAGACAGGCCGCCCTCGGCGAGTGGATGGCCGAGGCCCAGAGCGTTGGCGACCACTGCGCCGACGGCCGGGGCAAGCTCGAGGCAGCGCCGTGGACGACGAGACCGTCGGCCAGCACCGCGCCGTCAGCCAGCGCCGCGGGGCCGCCGCGCTGGCCCGCGAGCTTGCGCGCTGAATCGGCCAGGCCTCGGCGCCGCGGCAGGGCATCGCGGCCAAGGGCTGCGTGAAATACAAGGGCCTGGCCGACGTAGATGCTCGGCGGCGCGCCCGCCCCTGGGGGCCAGCTGCGGCAGGCGGCGGCGAGGGGCCCTACGATTAGGAGCCAGGGGCCGAAGCGGCGCCGCCCGCTACCTGGGCAGGGCGCGCTCGGCAGCCAAAGCCTCAGGCGAGCTGGGCTTGGGGGCGGTGACCGTCGGAGTCCTCGGCCGCGTCCTGAGCCGCGCGGTCCGCGGCGACGGCGACGACGAACAGGGGCCGATGGCCCGCGCCAAGCGCGGCGCCCACATGGCGCTGGGAGGGCGCTCGGGCCCCGGGCCCGGGCTCAAGGAGCAGCGCCCAAGGGCCACAGCGGACAAGTAAGGGCGCCGCCGCCCGCGTCCAGGGGGGGGCCTCGCCAGCGGAAGAAATGCATGGTGGATGCCGAGCCTCCCTTTCTGCGCCTCTTCTGCGAAGCGCCCGAGGCGGCGGGAGCGTGTCGCGGCCGGGGTCGGAGAAGAGCCAGGAGTTGCGAGCGCGGCCTCGGGTTGCGCTGAGGGGTCGCAGCCAGCCCCTGCAGGCGAGCCAGCTGGCGGGGGAGGGGCCTCCAGCTAAGCCCACGGCTACTCGGCAATGGCGGGGCCCATCGAACCAGAAGCGGAGCGGCGCCTCGGCCGCCGCGGACTCGGCGCAGCGGAGCGGGGGGCTTGGCGCTCGGAGGGGGCCAGCGCCGTGGAGCGGCGCAGGGGGCGCAGGCGCCTCGCCCGCCAGTTCGCGAGGTCCGAGGGCGAGAGTGACTAGCGCGAGCGAGTGATACCCGACGGCTCTTGCCTTCCCTCTCCCGTGGCCAGCCTGCTCAGCAGTTCCTTCCCTCTGCGTTCTCGCGCGCTAGACGCGAGTGAGCTCGGCTTGGTCGCGGGGGGCGCGCGGGGGACCGAGGGTGCCCGGCGCCCCGAGGCCCTTGTGGGCTCTCTGTGCCTGGGGCCCGGGCGTCTCGGGATGCGGCAGAGGCCCGTTCGGTTTTCCGATGGCCCCGTCATGTCCGGGGCGCGGCGTCGGCTCGGGCGGTCCTGAGTCCTGCCCTAGGTCGGCGGGCGGCCCTCCGCCGCGCCGTGGCCCAGGGCGGCCGCCCCCCCTGTGCCTCCCCCTCCCTTGGGGGGCCTCTCCCCCCAGCCTTCAAGGCCCAGCCATTCGCATATTCGCATTCCGCAGACCAGCACGATTCAGGCCAGCACGATTCAGACCAGCGCTGCAGACCAGCACGACAGACAAGCGCGGCAGACCAGCGCGGCAGGCCAGCGCGGCGGACCAGCACGGAAGACCAGCGCGGCAGACCAGCACGGCACGGACCACGTTGCCAGACCATAGCGGCGCACAAGTACGGTTCAGACCAGTACGGCAGGCCAGCGCGGCATACTAGTCGTGCAGACCAGCGCGGCGGACCGGCACGGCGCGCCAGCACGGCTGTTTGCTCGGCGGACCAGCGCGGCACACCAGCAAATCAGACAAGCAGTGCTCCTCGGAATTCTCGGCGAGATGTTCCATCAGGCTTCGTAGACACGACGACGCTTCCCGTTCTTGTCCAGTCAGGTTTCGGGAAGATTGCCGTTTCTCCCGTGACATTCTCGACAAATCAGTTCCAGAATGGACTCCGAACCAGCACTATTACGGAGTAGTTGTTGGATGGTTTCAAGGCAACCCACTAGATTTCCCGAAGGTCCCCAAAGGGGGGCCCAACACCGCCCCGAGATGCTTCCAAGACGCACCCAGAGGCCCCCAGGACTGCCCAAGAGGGCCCCAAGGAGGAAGGCCCAAGACATCGCTGAGACAGCCCAAGGAAACCCCGACGGACAATTGGGGCCCGCGAAGACCTTTTCAAAACGGTTCACAACAGCTCCAAAGGTATCCCAAAGCGTTTCAAAAAGCGCCAAGTGGGACCCCCAAGAGGCACCCAAGAAGCACGCGGAAGCCCACGAGAGCCCAAGGACCCCCCCCCTGGAAATTCCAAGGACCTGACACGGCCCATGAGGTTGTGCTTGAGCTTTTTTCTGGATGGGATCATGTGCCTGCCGCGCTGAGCCGTTCAGAATATTCGATGCCAGCCTCTACGCTAACTGGTCTCCAATGTCCCCGCGTCATGTGAAGTCACGGCCGCCTCTTCTGAACCGCCGCCGCCAGAACACCGGCGTCGGCCGCCTCCTGTATAGTCGATGTTTTTTTTCGTGACGGTCGTCATTATTGAAATTATTGTCCTCGTCGTGTTCCAGATTATCCTCCGTGTTCTCCTCAGTCCTTCTTCTTCGTCGCGCTTGTCTTCCCAACTCTCTTGGTCCGCGTCCTTGAGCTGGCCATCCTGGTCATGCTCCGTTGCGTTTCCCCGCTGCGCCCCGCGCCCTGCGCGCCCTCCCCGACGTCCGCCCGACGAACCCCGCGACCAAGCGGCGGCGCTTCCGTTTCTGCGCGGCACAGCTGCGCGGCAATGGCCACATAATTTCTGGAGATCACGCGCGTGCGTTTCGAAACATACGCCGCCGCTTGGTTGCGGGAAGATGAGCCCGCGCGTCTACAGGAATTGTCAAAGTTGTAAGACCGCCATTGTAAGCCGTGTGCTTCTCCGTTACTTCCCCCCTCCCCTTTCCTGTCCCCTGATTCAGACTCGCAGACGGCACTTTTTTTGGCGTTTCGGGCATTCCAGCTTAGCGACATATTGCGCAGATCGCGTCGGGGCCTCTCCGTGCAATTGCCGGCTGTGCAACCCCGCGCCCATGTTGCAGAACTCCTGGGTCGGGTTCGCGGCGAGACGTGTTGCACAGATCGCTGTGGGATTTCGCGTCGCCTGGGTTCGTGGACGAGTTCCCACCCCGAGTCTTCGAGCCCGGTGATAGGACAATCGCACCAAGGAGATATCTGGACGCACCCACTTTGAGGATGGGCGCCCCGCCATCCATCGTACATCCTTGGGATGTGCCCGAAAATGGTGGGCCAGTCGGAAATCTCACGGTGTCCGCGGATAGGTCAGCCATGCCTTTTGTAATGGGCGCAGCCGAGTGCGCACCTGTCGCCAATTTCACAGCTGTCATAACTCACAACATTGATTCGCTTCCGTTGGCTCCAGCGATGTGTAATCTTCTACACGTCAGATCGGGACATCGCCCTGCATGGGTGTTGCCAGCCGTGCGAATGTCACCACTTTGCTGCACTTCTGGTAGTCCAGCGGAGCGGATTTTCTTGCATGTCGTTGTTGAGCCTCGCCCTTCCAGTGAATTGCAAGAGCCGCAGCTGTCACAGATTTACTGCGCTTCTGGAGTGTCGGCCAATGCCGATCGCGTCGGGACCTCCCCGTTCCCCAGGTGCGGCTCGATGGGGCGCTGTGGCCCGTTCGCTGCCCCAAGCCTTGGACCTTGGAGGGTCCAGTGGACAGGAACGTTGGGCACATCGCGACGGAGCCTTTTACACCATATGTGGTCCAGCGGGGCGAAAGTATCGGGACATGTTCCTCCCTTTTTTGTTACTTGGCCCGGCCGGCAACTGTCACAACCCTGCTGCGGCCTTGGGGGGTCCTTCGGACCTGGCGGCGATCTCGCGAGCTGTTAGTGCCCACGCGGGGCCGTCGAGGAATTCGCAATTTGCAGTTTGCAATTTGCTCATACCCAAGGGGGGCGGCCGAGAAATGCGCAATTTGCCTAAAGCGAAGGGTGTTCCTGCACAAGAGAGCTATGAGACGGCACGTCGTCATCATCGCGACCCCATCTTCTCTGCCATCCATGGCTTCTTCGGTGTCCGTTCTGTCCTCGTCCTCTCTCGCCTGTGGTCGCCATGTTGGTCCCCATCCAACGTCATGTGTTGGCATTGTCTGGTCTCCCTCATCCCCTAATCTCTCGCGCTCTCTCTCTTTCTCCTGAGCTGCTTCTCCCCCCCCCCCGCTTCCCCACTCCGGAGGGCAGCCTCCGCCCCGGGAGGCTGCAGTCGAACTCGCTGCTCCGCTGGAGCTCCCTGAACGACTCGCAGGCCCAGACTCAGAGGACGTCTCCGGGGGGGGGGAGGGGGGAGGACGGGGGCCGGGAGACGATCGGGGGCTCGGGGAGTCGGCGGCGCGCCGAGGGGAGGTGCAGCGGGGTGCGGGCCTTCTCAGAAGGCTCGGGAGGCGCCCAGCCTTCTGAGAAGCGCCCTACGCTGTATCCGAAGCCCTGTCGCCTTCCGCAAGGCTAACCCCCATTGCCTTCCCCCTGGGCGCGCCACCGATTGAGGTGTGGCACGTCAAGGTGAGATGTTCATGCTTCTTACTTGCAGAAGCCGTTTGGAACGATTTCCATCTAACCCCACCTCTGCCTCTACCCCTCCACCTTTACGTCAGCCCGAAAAGTGAGGAAGGAGGGCGGAGGGTGTGGGCGGATGAACGGGGAGGGATTTGCAGTGAGTTTGGCGCCGCCCCCATCAGGCTTGTCCTCGTTGCTCAGGGCCGTCTGAAGGCAGTCTGGATGTTATATGAGTGGCACGTTGCAGCTGTCGTGCGACCCGGCGTTGATTGGCTGCAACACCTTACAACTGCAAGTGGAACTCGTTGTTGCCATTCGCTCTGTTTGCCTGACTCTACTGTGTCCCAGCTCTCCCGTGTTGGCCCTCGCTCTTGCACAGTAGAATACCAGTTGCACCGTCCCTCCTTCCTACGACCACCTTCCCTCTCTCTCTCTCTCTCTCTTTCTCTCTCCTCACGCCCCTTCTCATCCTTTGGTGATGCCAAGGGATGAGGCACCGCCTTTCCATGCGTCACCAGGGAGGGGGGATCTAGCTTTGGGACGTCTAGCGCGGACCGTGTCGGGGCCTTGTAGTGCCTGCATGTTGTCGGCCGTACGTCTTCGGCGGCGCGCCCAGAGGGGAAGCGCGGGGGGGAAGGCCCTCTTGGAAGGCGGCGGGGCTTCGGAGAAGGCTCAGGAAGCTCCTTGGAAAGCTGGAGAGGCCTTCCCACCTTTCCGAGCCCTGGCATCGCTTGGACGTGTGGACGTTGTCTTGGCGAGGGCCATCGAGGAGCAGCCTTGATCAGCAGGCCAAACCAAAGCACCGACCATGGCGAAAACTGTACGGGGAGCGGGGGCGCCCGCGCGCTGGCAGAGGCAATGCCTGGCCCGTCTGCCTGCACACCCCTTGGTGGGCGCGCCGCCTAGGGCTGCCGTGCAATGCTGCTCCGCGCCGGGGGGCGGGGGGGCCTGCGGAGACGTATTTCGGACGGCGTTGGAGGAGGCGTTGGAGGAGGCGGAGGAGGAGGGGGTGGAAGAGGAGGAGGAGGCGGAGGAGGCGGAGGAGGCGGAGGAGGAGGAGGAGGAGGAGTGGCGGAGGAGGAGGCGGAGGAGGCGGAGGAGGCGGAGGAGGAGGAGGAGGAGGAGGAGGAGGAGGAGGAGGAGGTGAAAGAGGCGGAGGAGGCGGAGTCGGCAGAGGAGGCGGAGGAGGAGGCGGCGGAGGAGGCGGCGGAGGAGGAGGCGGAGGAGGAGGAGGAGGAGGTGGAGGTGGAGGAGGATGAGGAGGAGGAGGGGGAGGAGGAGGAGGAGGAGGAGGAGGAGGGGGGAGGCGTCGTAGACTGTAAACACTCAGTTTGGCCAGGCCTTTCATGGTCTCAACGTCGTTGCATACGCCGTTCTGGCCGTTGCCAGATCGTCGTGTAGTATTCACCGATCCTGCGCCAAGGGTAGACCTGGCGACAGAAGAGTGTTAGTTCGTAGTTGTCGTCGTCGCAGTTTCATGAAGATCGCAACGTAACTTCGCCACGCCAGGGTGCTGCCAGGTGTCGAACTGTCGCCAGCCGCGCAACTGTCGTAAACGTACTGCGCCGTTGCTGGGTTCAACGGCGGCTTGACGTCCTGCGCCGATCGCATCGGGGCCTCTCCCATGCTGAGTGGCGCCAGCCGTACAAGTGCCGCTGCTATGCTGAGCTCCTGGAGTCTCCAAGGGAGCGACGTCTTCTGCAGATCGTGTCGGAACCTTGCTTTTTCCTGGAGGCTGCAGGCAGCACAGCTCGGCGGCGAGCCTGGGGGGGGAAGCGAGCGTGGGCGGGCCTTCTCTCTCAGAAGGCTCGGAAGTCCTTCGGCCTTCCGAGAAGCTTTCTCAGCCGTCCACGAAGACGCAGAACACTTTTTAGAAGGTCGGAGTGCTGCTGATTTCTGAAAGGGCTTTATCCCTCTCCTTCTTATCCCCTCGCTCGCCGCCGACGCAGCACAGCCGTTGCCACATTTGCAGCACCTGTGCGGACTCAGACGGAGGACGTCTTACGCAGATCGCATGGGGACCTCGCCCTCCCTGGGCGCTGGCAGCAGCACGCCTCGCGCCACCATGCTGCGCTCCTGGGAGGTCCGGTGGAGTGGCGTCTTGCGCAGATCGTTTCTGGGTCTCGTCCTCCGTGTGCACCTCTAGGTGCCCGCGCCTCCGGTCGCCCCCGTCGGTCGTCCCTCGGCCGTCTGCCGGTCGTGTCGTTTCCGCATTGTGCCGCTGGGCTCCTCCTGCGATCGTTGAGAAATGCACCGCCAGCCGTGCAGGTGCTGTCGGTTTGCCGCGTTTCTGGAGTCGCGTCTACTGCAGATCGAACTGGCACTTCGCTCCTCCCAGGTGCAGCAAGATGTGGTGCTGTCGCCGGTTTGCTGCGCCTCCAGGGGGCGTGTAAAGCGCAGCCGCACGTTGTGCAGAATTCAACGTTATTTTGCCCTCTCCTGGCTGCCAGGTGTAGAGCTGTCGCCACCACTTTACTGCGTCCACGGGCGGGTCCTGGAGGGCTACGCTACACCAGATCGCATTGTGACCTCGCCTTCCCTTGTTCCATTGTGCGGCCTGGCCTTGGGCACCTTCCTTAGGCTTGTGTCGTGTTTTGTCTGGGCACAAACAAAACTGTGTGCGGCCTGGCGGGCAACCGTCGCGAGTTGGCTGCACCCGTTGGTGTTCCAGCTGGCCTGGCGGGTCGCCTGCGAACCTTTCGTGCCCGCGAGGGGCGCTGCAGGGGAGCGGTCAAGACATCGTTCCTTCCGGTTTTCGTCGTTGCGGTCACTTCCCGATCCGTGTTCTTGTCTGGGCTTGCCTGACACGGAACCCATTGGGCCTAACAGCTCAACAGGGGTTTGTCCGGCGTGTTCCTTATGCCATTCGGTCTGGATTGGCCCGCTATTGTGCCCACTTCTTGCGCAACACGGGATGAGAACGTCGTCCAAGGGAAGTGTTTTTTGTGGTGGTCAGGGTTGTGTAGCCTTTCTGTTAGGTGCGTTGTTTGCCATGGCATGCTGTGGAGTGATTCGGTTTGTCTCGCCGTGCCGTCAATTACCACGGTCTGCATTTCCACTTCAGTGCTTCGTTCCCTACACAGTGCATATCTGTTTGCATTAAGTCGAGCCTGTCCCTTTACATGAGGAGTATTCAAAAATAGTGAAAATAGTCAGGGGTCGATGTTTTGATAATTGTTTGATATGTGGGAGTTGTTTTCATTTTATAGATAGAATGTTTCAGTTTGTTGTCCAAAATCCGCTTGTAGGGGGACATGCCCGACCTCATGCTAGCAAGTGCGTTGCCAGATCCCGAGTCGGGCGGGCGACGTTGCTTCCCGTCGCCTTCCGTGGCCTCCCGGCGGCCTCCGCGTGGCCTCCCGTGGCCTCCTTTTGGCCCCCCCCCGTGGTCTCCCGCTGTCTCCAGTAGCCTCCTGTGGCCTCCTGTAGCCTCCCGTTCCTCCTCGCTCCTCCCTCCTCCCTCCTCTGCCCTCCTCCCTCCTCCCTCCTGCTCCTCCTCCTCCTCCTCCTCCTCCTCCTCCTCTCCTCCTCCTCCTCCTCCTCCTCCTCCCTCCTCTCCACTTCTCCTCCTCCTCCTCCTCCTCCTCCTCCTCCTCATCCGTCCTCCTCCCTCCTCCCTCCTCCTGCCGTCTCCCTCCTCTTCCCTCCTCCCTCCTCCCTCCTCCTCCCCCTTCTCCTCCTCCTCCTCCCTCCTCCTCCTCCTCCTCCTCGTTCTCCTCCTCCTCCACCTCCTCGCATTCCGTTGCCTTCTGTTGTTTCCCGTGGCCTCTGGTGGCCGTCCCTCTGCGTATCCCTTTCAGTCTCCGTTGATCCCTATGTTGCATCCCGATCCCCACCTTTGACCCCTACATCTCTATCCGCATATCCCTAGCCTATATCATTACCCATATCCCCATCCCGATCCCTCCATCGTCGCCCCCCACTTACCCCCAATCGTGGTGTCACCATCGTGATTGTGTAGAGCTTACCAGGGTCTTCTGCCGCAAGGGTGCCATTCTCGGAGCAGTTGGTCGCACCAGGAGGCGCTCCCTCCTGCTATCCGCCGTCGACTGGCGCTCCTGGGCTTCTTCGGCCAGTGGCCGCGCGTGGCCGCCTCGTGCACTGCCTGGCGCTCGTGTGGTTTCGCAAGAGGGTCGAAGATCGGGACAGTGAACACCAGAGCTCTGCACGAACGAAATGGGTACGGAAAGAATGGGTACGGAACCAGCAGCTCCTGTTCATTTTGAACAGGACTCGCTGTCCGCGCCGCCGCGGCCTGTGTCCATTTGAGCCAGAAGGCCGCCTGCCTAACAGCGGCCGCTGTTGGTTTGGGACAACATTTGCTGTTGGGCATTGCACCCATTTTCTGCGTACCCATTCGGGCGTCCAAGAGAGCGTCCTGGATCGCCCCCAGAGCGTTTCGGAGCGCTCCGGCAAGGCCGCGGCGCCCGATACGGCCCTCAGGGCCGCCGGCCTGCAGAGATGCCAGTCGCAAGTCATGGGAGCCTCGTGTGCCCTCTCAATTCCGTCCTTAGCGTCGGCTAGCGTCGATGAGCGTCTGGGAGTCGCTGAGATAGCGCCGATCTCGCGTCGGTTAGCGACCAGTCGCGTCGATCTAGCGTCGTCTAGCGTCGACCAGCGCCGGTCAGCGTCGATCCGCAGGAGCCGACACGATGGCATGGGAGGCCCCCGTGAGTTGCCACGGGAAGAGATTCCCGATCCATCCCGATCCCACTCTTCCCCGAATTTGCCTTCGGTTTCCGTTGTCGGCTGGTCGCCGCACGGGGCCGACTCTCCTGGCCGCCTCGTGCGCGGGCTGGCGTGTGTTTTTTTTGGTTCAGGCTCTGGTCCGAGGGTCGCCGCCCGTGGTGGCGAAGGTGGCTGCTTCGTGCGCTCGTGCTCGGCACGGTGGCGCCGTTCTGGAGGAGGCCCCGCCCTGGAGCAGTGTGCCCAGCGGTCGTTGAACGTAGGCAGTTCTGGAGTCCCAGATCCCAGTCTACTTTCGGCGCCTTCCTACTTCAATGATCGAGTAGCTTCACCTTTGCCGTCCTCTTCAGGAGGCGGGTGGACACCCAATCTACGTTCAACGCCTTCCTGCTCCATGTTTCTACTTACTTCTTCCGCCCGGTGGGTAAGGTGTTGACATGTCTTCCTCGGTGGAAGTCTGGCTTAAGCAAAACGAGGGTACCTCCGTCGTCGGTAGTTGGCGGAAGCAGCAATCTACCCCCAGCTCAGGAGCTCCAGGATCCGCCAGATAGCGCCGCACAGATGTCCCAAATAGTGCCCTCGATGGAAGACATGGTCCTAGGCCAATGTGTAGGCTGGACTGGTTTGCACGGTACACCTTCGCACATCAACTTCGAATGTTAACTTTGCATGGCTGGCCATCCGAAGTTCGATATCATAACATCCCAGACAGTCCCTTGATCGACCCCTCCACTAACCCATTTCAAAAAATCTGTTGGGAGCATTTGCTTTGATCTGACCAGTGGAAGTTCAGACAGTCCGTATCTAGTCGATCCATGCATGTCACACGCGCGCGCACATGTTCAAACCCGTCCAAGACCATTGCTTTTCAACTGTGTGTTGAAGCAGTCAGTAGCACAAGTGCCTCAGATCTGTGCACGCGACAACTGTATGTTTACGCCCGGCGTCATCTGACCATGTGGGCCACACGCGCGCGCCTGCCGAAATTATTCAGAGCCGTCATGATGAGTCAATCACGCGCCCGCCAAACCCGTCAAACAATTCAGAATGCGCGGCAGACGTCAGCGTCGCTGCGGCGCGCTGGCCACAAGCATTGCACAACCGATGGAGTTCGATGCATGTCTAGACACTGATCACTTAACTATAACTTACCAGCTACATCCAACCAGCGAGATGTACGTAGGAGTTCCTGGGCGCGCATGTGTTCATCATCCTCATCATCATGAGATCGTCATCGCCGCTGTCAGCACCATCACTGCCACCGTCGTCGTCACCATCATCTCCATCACCATCACCATGGTCGCCATTCTCGCCACCACCGTCGTCATCATCTGTGTCATCAACATCTCCATCTGCTGTCGCCTTTGACATGTTGCCTTTGACATCATCGCCGCCACGACCACCAGGCCATCATCGTTGTCGTCGTCGTCGCTGGTGTCGTCGTCGCCCTCTTCACTCGCCTGCCCGAGCCATCGGTCTGCATCAGAAGGGCCCTCGCGTCATTGCGCCAGTTGAGTTCTGCCAGGGAGTTGTTGCCGGGTGGGTGGGGGCATTCGCGCGAGCATTGGAGTTGGTGTCTCCAGGTCCTGCATTAGAGCAGCTGCAGCACGTTAACTGCAATGGCTAAATGGTTGACATGCAATCGGGGTGCACTGCGAACCGGTGCTAGGCGAAGCAGATGGAACCTCAGCAGCTTCCAAAGCAGACCAACTTGAATTTAATGCAATACTGAGCGTCATCCTGCCAACCCAGTTGCATGGTAAAGCACATCCAGCGAATTGCAACGCACTTTGCCCCAGTGTTGAGCAAAGCAATAGTGTGCGGAGTGCGGATCAAATGAGCGCGAAGCAACGCACAGCAATGCAAGGCGCACACATGCGATGGAGCGCACTGCAACGCCATGCAATCCAATGCGATGCAAAGTCATGCACAAGTACTGGCGTAGCGCGTCGCAAGTGCAAGTAGTGAAGGCAAGTTCTATTACATGTTCAGCAACGCGAGGCACGTGATGCAGATAGTCACACTGTTTTACAACGTAGCAGGCAAACATCTCATCCAAAGACATGTCCACGGTGCAGCACAACTTGCAGCAGCGCTATGCGCAGGACTTCAGGGCAAGGCAACGCAATGTAAGGTAACGCGCTGCAAGCAATGCAACACCATGTGAACCACGCGGGTTCACTGAAAGCGCAACGCACTGCAACGGACTGCAACGGTTTGCAACGTTCAGCAAATAGTATCTTTACGTAGCACACCGCAGGTGCGGATAAGAGTGAGGGGGCAGTGGGGACGTCGGCAGTCTGAAGCCTGCAGCAGGCGCCGATTTGTTCTTCAAACCAATGTGGATCGGTCGCGGGTTTGTCGCGGGTGGGTCGCGGGTGGGTCGCGGGGTGGGTCGCGGGTGGGTCGCAAGTGGGTCGCGGGGTGGGTCGCGGGTGGGTCGCGGATGGGTCGCGGGGTGGGTCGCGGGTGGGTCGCAGAATGGGCTGCGGGTGGGTCGCGGATGGGTCGCGGGTGGGTCGCGGGGGGGACGACGACAAAAAACAACAACAACGCAACAAGCATAATCCTCACCACGGGTTCTTACTTCAGCCATGCACCCAGGGACAATGAATGACCGTTCGGTTCCCTCGTTCTGACAAGCGCCAAACGCGCCGGAGAATCCCATTGGGCCAATATGTTGAGCCCTCACCACTCGCAATGTCCTCCGGCCTTCTTGCACATAATGGCCGAAGAGCTTTCAGGCGAAGCCGTACTCTGAACAGATACAGAACACTATGGACAGGGAACGGGGTGAGAGGGGCAAGGGCAGGAGAAGGAGGAGCCAGAGCCAGGATGATGAGAGTGTGTGGATAACCGTGTGACGTTATTCAGGAATGTTTGACCATGTTGGGGCCTGCTTGGGGCCCCAGGGGTCCACCTCGTGAGCTGTTGGGGCGCTTCTGGAGGCCACGCCGGGTTCTCTTGGCCTTTATGTGAACCGTTGGGGGAATTTGGGGGGTGGCCAGGCTATATCTATATATATGTATATATACATATATATATATATGTGTGCACGTGTGCATATACATACATGTACTCTGGCTGATAATGTTGTTTTGGCGCTGCGCGCCGCCCCCGTTGATTTGCCTATCAGTTGCCGGCAGGCAGGAGGCGAGACACAACAGGAGACAGTGCAAACGTCTTGATAGCGCGTCGTTCCACCATTTCTTGGATTCTGGCCCACAGCGCTTCAGCGTGACACGCTATCCATCGACCAGTCCCCAGGCGTCACTGTTCCGAGATGTCCCTAGCCTCCCGCCTTGCGGATCGGAGCGACACGCTATTCGCTCACAGGGCACAACGAGTCGCTGGCGCCGTGCCGACACGCTATCCAACAGTTCCTGGCCGTGGGCACGAACTTTTTGCGCCATCTAGACTGCTACAGCAAGCCTGGGTTGTATAGTCTTTCGGCAATTCCCAGGAGCCTCTCCGACGCCGTCAGCCGCAGCTTTGGCGCTCTCCCGACGGTGGGCAGCAGGTTCCCCTCTCGAGGATGCTGGGGGGTGGGCTAGAGAGATCGTGAAGGCGTGCGGGAGGGAGGAGGAGGATGATGATGAGGAGGAGGAGGAAGAGGAAGAGGAGGATGACGAGGAGGAAGGGCGATGGATGTTGGTGGAGGGTTACGGATTCCCCGTCTTCCTGTTTGTCGTTCTTCATTAATCCCCCGCTCCCTCTATTCAGGGCGGGCTCGTCTTCCGGTGGAAGGGAGTTCCCATTGAGCTTGTAGAGGCATGACCTGTGTCCATTGGCAGGCCTGAGCCCTTCCTGTTCTGACCGCAGCGAGTACCTCTGGCCCTGCCCACCCCCGTGATCACGAATTGCCCAGCTCTTCTCCCAAGCGCGCGCTCGATATCTGTCATTTTTGTTGTTTGAGTGCGCCCCGGCTGTACGTCCGCGCGCTCCACTTGCAGGGTTCGCCCTGGGCGCTCAAGGGACTGGGTGTGATCTCGACCGTCTCATCAGACCCTTCTGCACCCACGTCAAAGCCTGCTAGACACCCTCGGATACCTGAGCCCCAGCAAATCCTTCTGAACAATCCCGTGCCCTTTTCCTCGCTCCTCCTTCCTGCCCTCCCCTCAGGGAAGAGCTACACCCGGGAAGCCAGAGCGGGGGCCTCCTGGGCCCTTGGGCAGACAAGCGTCCTCTGCTGACCAGGATGGCACGGCCTCCCTCTCGGGAGAGGACGAGGGGCAGGACCCGGAAGGAGGGCAGAGGAGCTATGACATTGGGCTTGCGCGGCTCATCAAGCGTGTGGGCTGTCGGCTGTCAGCCTGGGCTGCCGGATGTCGAGTTCGGGGGATTGTGGGGGTGCGCTTTGCGGGGTGCATGGCTAAGCTTTGCGTTGTGGCATGCATGTGCGATACATGTTGGCATCGTATATAAACGGATTCCAGTCAATATGCAAAAGGGTTCCTGAACATGCACCTAAAAAAGGAATCCTGTTCAAATCGCTTTCACAAGGAATCCTTTTCAAATCCTTTTCAAAAGGAGTCCGATTGAAACCCAGATCAAAAGGAATCCTATTCAAATTGGTTGCAAAAAGGAATCCCATTATAATCGCCTACGCAAGAAATTCGATTCAAATCGCTTACACAATAAATCCGATTGAAAACCTTTTTCCAAAGAAAGCCTACTGAAATCCCCTTCAAAGGGAATCCATTGGAAACCCAAATCAAAAAGGACTCCTGTTCAAATCGCTCACAAAGGGAATCCCAATTCAATCTCCTGCACAAGGATTTCTATGGAAAGCCTGCCAGGTGTCCTGCCTGCTGCCCTTGCTGCTGCGGCAGACCGGGCGGCGTCTGCTGGCGGGGCCCTGTCGCCCGATGCTTACGATGATGATGACGTGTCCCCGATGGAAAAGGTGGCGCTGTCGGTGCCCCTGATGGGAAGGGGTGTCGTCGGTTGTGCCCCCAGGGGGCCTCGTGGGAGGCCTCCTGGGAGGTGCGAAAGTGGTTGAATTCCAGAGGATGAGGCCCCCCCTTTCGCCCAAAAGGGGGGGGGGGTCTTCCATTCGGGTTCTCAGCGGCTGATCTGTCCAATTTGATCCTCCATGCACGCCAGAGAAGAGGCGCGGAATGCTTTCCCAGGTAATGGTTAAATTGTTGAGGACGAGGCGGTGGATGAGGACGATGGAACGGAGAAGGGGGAGGATTTTGTCCACGCTGGCAATGAGCGATGCTGCCTTCGCAAGCACAGCTTCCTTGCTCTCAAGGATGGTGTCCGCCACGAGCTCCTTGCAGATTGCGTCCGCAAGCTTCCTCAATTTCTTCTCGCTGACGGCCTTGTGGGCGTTGCCGCCGAACTGGGCGAGCTGCGCATTGTCCCCGTGCTTTTTCCGGATCGCCACAGCATGGTTCTTCCTGTGCCACATCACCGAGTAGTTCCTCCCAGGGACGGCGACAGCCACAGCCGCTGCAGGCTGCGCTGGATCCGCTGCAGCTGGCTCCGGTGCGTCGTCGTCCTCCTCGCCGTTGTCCCCCTCGTCCTCGGCGCTGTCGTCGGCATCGCTGTCGTCGTCCTCGCTGTCGTCGGTCTTCCCGGTGCCGGGTGCAGCAGTAGGCTTCTTGTTAGCAACAGGTTTCTTGTTAACTGCAGGCTTCTTCCTGACGGCATCGCCATTGTCTTCTGCAGCAAGCATCGAGTTCGGCTATGCGCTCGCCTGTCTCTGCCTGCTTGAACCGCGCGCGCACCTCCGAGAACACCTGGCTGATCTCCCCAGAGTACGTCCTCACATCTTTCAAGGGCAAGTCTCCGCAGTATTTCTGGGTCGATCGCTGGATGTCAACTTTGTTGGCACTCTTCCTGTGCTCTGCTAAGTCCGGCAGGAAGCCCATGTGTTTGCCGATCACGCAGTTCAAGTCACCATCGGCGTCAAGCTTGGTGATGGTCCTCCCGTGCCTTTTTTGACGACGTTGTCATGGTACTCGTCTCGGTCGTGCTCTTGGCTCGCCGAACGCTTCCCGAGGATGCTGCATTTTGAGGGGAGGGCTCCTGCCGCGCGCGCGCGCGCCTCAGCTGGAGCCGAGGCGCCTCTCTGACGCCTGTGTCACCTAGCTGGAGGGCGTTGGAAGACCACTGCGCAGGGGATCGGTATGGTGCGCGCTCACCCCTGCTGGAAGGGGATGCCGTGCTCGCGAACCAATCGGAAATTAGACACCTTAGTTAAGGTGTCCGTTGGCCACTCGAATTCGAGTGTCTAACTTAAGGTGTTTCCTTGATTAGAGCGTTTTCAATCCTCAAGGTAAGTTCGCCGCCGATTTCTTGGGTGCCCGGCTGCCCAGGTGCCCGGGTGCCCGGGTGCTTTATAGCCCTGTAGCCCTACAGCCTTTTAGCACTATAGCCTTTTAGTCCTATAGCCCAGTAGCCCTGTAGGCCAATAGCCTCATAGCCTTATAGCCCTATAGCCCCATAGCCCTATAGTCCTATAGCCCATATAGCCTTAGAGCCCCATACCATAGCCTTACAGCCATACAGACCTATAGCCCTAAAGCCCAATCGCCCTATAGTTCTAAACAGATTATGGTTGGATTGTTTCCGTTTGTTTTTTTTGTTTTGGTTTGTTTGTTCTTCTATCTTTCGTTCAAGATCCGCCTGTAGGCAGACATGCCCTATCTATTCTCAATCCCGATCTACCTTCCACGCCTTCCAACTTCGTGCTTCTACACGCCGCTTCCGACCGAACTGCGCACGAGGAGCTGGGGAGGGGCGGGGCGGGGGGGGGAGGGCACAGCAAAACGCACTCGAGAGAAGGTGTACGCTTCCCGAGGCAGGCTGGAAGGGGAAGGCCCCGCCCGGTCCCCCTCCCCGCGGACACACCCGAGGGATGTGGCCGCAGCGGAGGCGGTGGGCACAATCGGCGCGTCGCCATGGCGCCTCCGAGGCTAGCCTCGTGTCCCAAGACGGGCCTCATACCGGCGGCGGGCAAGGGGGGGAAGTTCGAAGGAGAAGGCCTTCTCGGAAAGCGGCGGGACTGCTCACAAGCCCCCCCCTTGTGCCGTCTGAAAAGTTGTCATTGTCTTCGGGGGCGGCTTAGAAGACTTCCTAGGAGCCGGGAGACTTCCGAGCCTTCTGAGAAGGCCCGCCTCTTCTCACTTCGCCCCCAGGCTCGCCCCCGATCATATTTCACGCCACTCGTTCCCGAGCGCGTCGGGCCTAGCCCGAACAGCCAGGCCGTGCGCCCGAGCTCCGCAACCCAAGCGCACGGACAAAGTCCAAAGGCCCACGGGACACTGCTTGCGGCCATTCGTGGACATCTGGGGAGAAGGAGGAGGAGTCTTGAAGGAAGAGGAGGAGGAGGAGGAGGAGGAGGAGGAGGAGGAGGAGGAGGAGGAGGAGGAGGAGGAGGAGGAGGAGGAGGACGCCTCGTGTTACGAGGCCCTGCTGGGCGGTGGCGCAAGCGGCAACCCGATCAAAGGGGGTCAGCGCCGTCCGTCCCAGCCGTCATGCGCGCAGGCAGACTCATGCTTGCGCCAGGCTGTGCCCAGGAGGAGGAGGAGGACGAGACGGATGAGGCCGAGACGGCTGAGGCGGAGCAGGAAAAGGATTACGGGTACGAGGTGGACTGGGAAAATAATCGAAGGGGAGTGGGTGGGAGCGGGAAACGGAGGAGGAGGAGTGAAAAGGAGGAGGAGAAGGTGGACCACGATGGGAAACGAGGAGGTGGATGGGGCAGGGGGGGGACGAGGAGGAGGAGGAGGAGGAGGAGGAGGAGGAGCAGGAGGAGGAGGAGGATGGGGAAGATGAAAAACAGTAGGAGGAGGAGGTGGAGGAGGAGGAGTAGCCTGGCGTCCCCTTCCACTTCGCCCCGCGCCTCCCAGCCAGGTTCCCCTCGCCGCCGCAGAGCAAGGGCCCAGGCGGCTCCGCGTCCCCGCCCGGCGTGGGCCGCGCCGGGCTTCTGACGGCGAGGTTCAGGAGGGGAGGAGGGAGGGGGGGAGGAGGCAGAGGAGGAGGAGGAGGAGGAGGAGGAGGAGGAGGAGGTCGAAGAACAACAACAACAACAGCAGAAGCAGAAACGTTTGGCGCTCCGCGCGGATCCCTTGGATCCGCGCTGGGGCCCCGTCGGCGCGATCCGGCGCAGCCCCTGGCGCGCTCCGCGCGCCGGGGAGGGGGCTTCCAGCAAAGATCAAAGAAATCCGCGCGGAGCGCCAGGAGGTAAGGTGTAGGCCGTTAGTGTGTAGGGGGAGGATAGGGGGTGTCCAAGATGGAATGATAACTACATTGGGGTGTATGTGTGCTAATGTAACGTAGTGTAGTGGAGCGCAGTGCAGTGTAGTGTAGTGTAGCGTAGTGTAGTGTAGTGTAGTGTAGCGTCGGCTCGGGTAGGGTAGGGTAGGGTAGGGTGGAGTAGTGCAGTGTAGTGTAGTGTAGAAATATTCCAGACTAGTCGAAACAAATAGTATGAGAACGATGTTGTATCATTTCTTGGCAAGTTTTGGTAATTCCCCACATGTTTCGTGGGGTTCTGGTTTTCATCCTTGCCGCGTCGCACCCACGTCTCCCGCACACCTCCCCTCACCCTCCATCTCCTTCCCACGCAGCACAGCGCAGCACAGCGCAGCACAGCACAGCACAGCACAGCGCAGCACACAGCACACAGCACACAGCACATTGACACACAGCACGTACACAGCACAGCACAGCACTGCTCAGCACAGCTCAGCTCAACACGGCACAACTCAGCTTCTTTCTCGACACCAGAGGGGGCGCGCAGGTGGTGGTCCCTCAGCGCGGTCTCTATACGCGCCAATGTCGCAATGTCGCAGGGCCTGGCAGGCCAATGTCGCAGGGCCAATGTCGCAGGGCCTGGCAGGCGTGGAACTTTCTCGACACAAGAGGGGGTGCGCAGGGGGTGGTCCCTCAGCGCGGTCTCTATACGCGCCAATGATGCAAGGCCTAGAAGGCGTGGCGCTTTCTCGACACCAGAGGAGGTGCGCAGGGGGTGGTCCCTCAGCGCGGTCTCTATACGCGCCCATGTTGCAGGGCCTAGCAGGCGTGGCGCTCTGTCGGCACCAGAGGGGGTGCGCAGGGGGTGGTCCCTCAGCGCGGTGTCTATACGCGCCAATATCGCAGGGCTCAGCAGGCGTGGCGCTTTCTCGACACAGGAGGGAGTGCGCAAGGGGTGGTCCCTCAGCGCGGTCTCTATACGCGCCAATGTCGCGGGGCCGAGCAGGCGTGGCACTGTCTCGACACCAGAGGGGGTGCGCAGGGGGTGGTCCCTCAGCGCGGTCTCTATACTCGCCCATGTCGCAGGGCTCAGCAGGCGTGGCACTTTCTCGACACCAGAGGGGGTGCGCAGGAGGTGGTCCGTCAGCGCGGTCTCTATACGCGCAGATGTTGCAGGGCCTAGCAGGCGTGGCACTCTGTCGGCACCAGAGGGGGTGCGCAGGGGGTGGTCCCTCAGCGCGGTGTCTATACGCGCCAATATCGCAGGGCTCAGCAGGCGTGGCGCTTTCTCGACACAGGAGGGAGTGCGCAAGGGGGTGGTCCCTCAGCGCGGTGTCTATACGCGCCAATGTCGCGGGGCCGAGCAGGCGTGGCACTGTCTCGACACCAGAGGGGGTGCGCAGGGGGTGGTCCCTCAGCGCGGTGTCTATACGCGCCGATGTCGCAGGGCTCAGCAGGCGTGGCACTTTCTCGACACCAGAGGGGGTGCGCAGGAGGTGGTCCGTCAGCGCGGTCTCTATACTCGCCCATGTTGCAGGGCCTAGCAGGCGTGGCGCTCTGTCGACACCAGACGGGGTGCACACGGGGTGGTTTCTCACCCCGGTGTCTGTACGCGCCAATGCCGCACGGCCTAGCAGGTGTGGCACTTTCTCGACACCGGAGGGGCTGCGCAGGGGGTGGTCCATCACCCCGGTGCCTATTCGTGCCAATGTCGCAAGGCTTAGCAGGCGTGGTATGTTCTCCGCACCAAAGGGGTGGTCCCTCAGCGCGGCCCCTAGACGCGACAATGTCGCAGGGCCTAGCAGGCGTGGCACTTTCTCGACACCAGAGGAGGTGGCAGGGGGTGGTCCTGCACCGCGGTCTCTTTTCGCGCCAATGTTGGAGGGCTCGACAGTCGTGACACTTTTTCGACATGCAACGGTATCGGCGGGGCAACGACCACCAACATCATTCTCACATGCTTCTTTTCAGCTATCAGCACTCCAGCCGTCATATAAGTATGTGGGGTTCCTCGGAAGCGTAATGTGTATTATTGTTATGTTTCTCCCCAAACTCGCCTGTAGTAGACGCGAATGTTGCATATGTTTTGAAAGGGAATATGGCTTCGAGGCCGCAGCTATGGCGTAATGTATGAGGGATTGTGGCCTCGGGTTCGCGTGTGGTGAGTCATTTGCAAGGGGTCGTGTCCTCGCGAGGCCTTTGCCCCTTGTGAGTTGTGCAATATTGGCGTCCCCCCGAAGCCACGGCCCCTCGTCAGTCACGCAATATTCGCGTCCTCGAAGTCACGAGCCCTAGCAAGTTGCTGACGATTCGCGTCCCGGACATAGCTGCGTTCTCGGAGCAATAGCCCGCCAAGGGGAAGCGAACAAACGCCGCCTTTACCCCGAACGCTTCGCGCACGGGACAGCTGCGTCGGCACCCGGTGGACATCACAGCGCCGAAGATGGGCGCGTGGACGCGTGGAGCCACCCGTGTTTATGAGCGCGCAGTCGGGTGCTTCCTTGTGTAAAAGTTTGCCACAGCTTGTCGCACCACGCGTTGTTGGCTGCCGTTATCGCTTTCCCTTCCGCCCGGTTTTCTTCCCCTTTCTTTTCATTACTCTTCGACGCCGTTCCCTGCGCGCCATCAGTGCGGCGCGGCTCCGATGCAGGACGATCGTGTTCATTCACGGCGGTCCGCGTGGCTTGGTTTTCAGCTCTGTCTGCCGTTCTCTTCTCGTCTCTTCTCTTTCTCGTTCCCTCTCCTGGCTGCCGTTGTTCATCGTCTGTAACTGACCTGTCGGGCCATGGGGATCCTGCGCCCGGCGCCTTGGGGTAATTAGCTTCCTCGCCCGCGATTTCCCCATGTGCTTCTACATCTTGTCGCACGGTTCCTCGGCGGCGCGCATCGCGTGGCAACCGCAGGGGCAGCAAGTTTTGTTCTCATCGCCGGTGCCTGCACAAATAGTGCGACAAGGTCAATGCATGTCTTCTGCTCAAAGTTCGGCCAGGGGCAGTGGATATGTGTAGATCTCGTTGCCCTAACAAAACGTAGGACGGCGCTGCCCCGCCTGCGCGGGCTCGCGCCTGCGCGGGCTCGTGCGGGGCCGCGCGCCAGGCCGGGGCGACCTTGCCGCAATCGCGCTGGCGCAGCGCAGTGGGTCCGAAGCGACGATCAATCCGCACCTCGTGCTTCCAGCGTTATTGCCGCTCGCGTTCCTGGGAACACCCTCCAAGCATGTCCGCCTGCGTCCGGCGCACATGGCGTGGCCAAATCCCCGCGGCCTGCGACGAGTTCGCTTGGGCGCAGCTGCCCGCGGGGGACGCCGTCGTCGTCCTCGTCGCTGTCGGCGTCGTCCCCCTCCTGCCCCCATTCCCACTCGTCGTCGTCGTCGTCGTCCACAGCCACCGCCTGGTCTCATGGTCGTCGGCGGGCGATGGATGCGGATACGCTTGGGCCGCTTTGGGGGGCCCGAGCGTATCTACAGCGCCGTTCCCTGCCGAGGCCCCCGAAGATCGACCCCTCAGGCGGTGGTCGCGGATCCACGCATTTTGGAGCCGGTTGGGGGTCTGAGGTGGCCCAATATTCGTTCCGGCCGGCAGAAAGGGGAGGTTCGAGGTCCTTAAAACGACGCGAAGATCGGGACAAAATCGTATCGGGGTTTGGAGGATGTATTGGGCGCCGCGGCCGCTCCAGAGAGTTCCGGAACGCTCTGAGAGCGCTCCGGAACGCTCTGGAGCGATTTATCCCGATCCTGGCTCTGTTTTAGTCTTGGGTTCGGGGCAGGTGCTTCGCCTTTTTCAGTCTGCGGGGGCCGTGGTCGGGCCAGGGGGGCCTGCAGCAGCGGACCCGGGGTGACGGCCTGCACCAGAGGGACCCCGGGAGGGGGCCAGGGACCGATCTTGAGCGAATAGCAAATGTGGTCTCATCCTCCACTCCTCGCCGATTTCCTGAGGCCCCAGCAAGTTCAGAAGCCCCGACGCCTGCAACATCAATCCCTGCGTGGCCCTCCACCGCGCCACCGCTCGGCAGCTGCGGCAGCGCCCCGGGGCGCGGCCCTGCCGGAGAGGAGGGCGCGGCGCTGCCGGTGGAGGAGCTGGGCAGCCTCCGGGGCGAGGCCGCCGCTGATGGGTGCTCGTTACCGGTTCGTCGCGTTCGGGGGCGAGATGTACACGCACGCGCTCCCCCTGTCCGCGCTCTTCCCGCTCCCGGCTGTGCCGAATTAGGCCCCGCAGCGCCCCTCTGATGACTCCGACAGCGGCGTGGCCCCGCCGCTGCGACCAAGAAGTTCGGGGGCCAGGTCAGGGAGCGCGTGGGCGACGCATGGACCTAATTCGCCGGGCCCTGGGGGGGGCACATGAGGAGCAGGAGGAAGAGGAGGAACAATCATAAGAGGAGGGACGCCGCGATCATCTCATCGGATCCTAGTCCGTGCAGCATAATAAGAAGGGAGAGGAGGGAGGAGAGAGTAGGAGGATGAGGAGGAGGAGCAGTAGGAGTAGGAGGAGGAGGAGTCGGATGGGAGGAAGAGAAATGTTGTCCTCTTCGCCCCACCTGAGTGAGAGCCCGCCCGGCAGCCGACCTGCCGCGAAGCTCGAAGCGGCGGACATCCTGGTCGACCGAGCTGGTGCCGCTCTATGAGGCCGGCGCGGAGTGCAGCGACAGGAGGGGCAGGCGGGGTGGACCTGGAGACCGAGGAGGTGAACGATCGAGGGTCCTCCGCGTCTTGGTCTTTCTTGGGCCTCCCTAGGCCGAGAGCGCTGGCGCTGGCGCCAGCGTGGGCCGTGGACCCTGACAGACCGACACCGGGCGCGCGCGCACGCGAGCCAGTCGTGGCGGCGACGGCGGCGGCGACCACGACCACGACACTCGCGACACCCTCGGTCGCTCGATAACTGCCCTCGCGCCAGAGGGCCTCCTCCTCGTCCTCATTTCTTCTAGTGCTTGTTTTTTTGCATTTCTGGCATATTGTGCTTGCCTTCCGTCTCGTCCTTCTGCTCTCCCTCGCTGTTCTGCTTGCCGTCCCGAATGTCATCGTCATCCGCCGTTTGTCCGGTCAGGTCAAAATTGTAGTCATCGTCTCCATCTTGATCTCTTGATTGCAGGCTCTGGATTCTCAGCATGTTCGTTGTTCTGCGAAGCCCCCGTCATTTGCGCTTCACCAACCAGGAACTTCCACCGAACAGTGGCGGTGCTCTCAGAGTCTGTGGGCGATCGGGCGTTGAGCTGGAGGACTCAAGGAATGTCTCCGCGTTCGCTCTCCGGGGACTTTGCGATGCTGAGTTTCTGAGGAGACTCGCTGCCCCCTCGCGTGCACAGCTCCGCCTCCACCCGCTTCTCGGTATCCCCTCCTGCTCATGCTCGGTTCTCCTCTCTGTCATGCTCTTCTTCCGTTGGGATGCATTTCCTTCACCTGCGAGTCCCTGTTTCGCCCTCTGTTCATCATTGGCGTCGTCGTCTGCCTCCTCCATGTTCCCCATACCTGGCGTTCCCTCCCCACCCCCTCGACCTGAATGTCCCTCCTCATCGCTGTCCCCCCACCTGCTCATTCGTCCTCCCCCTGCTTCCATCTCCGCCCTAGCCTTTATCCACCTGCCCCTCGCCCTACTCGTCCAACCCCCGCTCGGCACCCTCCTGCTTCTCCCTACGCGCGATGCCAGTCCCCGCTCCGAGCCGCAGCGCACGCTGGGGGCAGACATCCGACGTCGAGTTTTTTTTTGTCGCAGCATGGCCCCCCAGAGGTCTGGACCTTGTGCCCGGGGGTACGTGTGTGTGTGTTTGCGTGTGTGTGTGGTTTTTATGTATACGTACATGCATGTATATATGCATGCGCTTGTGTGTTTATGGTGTACCATCGATATTTTCAAGGATAACTTACAAATGTGTACATGTGTGCGTGTGTGTGTGTGTGTGTGTGTCGTGGGCTGGCGCCTCATCCCGCACCGTGCTGCTAGACGGTCCCCGGGGCCCGGCAGAGGCCTCCGGAGGCCGAGCAGGGCCAGGGCACCTGCCGCCGTGCTCTGTGCCACGGCGCGAGGACGTCGGAGGGAGTCCGGGGGGGGGGCTGCTCGGCCCTGCGCCGTGGCCGCCGCGCGCGGACCGCGCTCGTGGGGGCCGCGCTCGGCAGACGCTGCTGCGGCCGCCGTCGTCGTCGTCGTCGTCGTCGGCGGCGGCGGCGGCGGCGGCGGCTGCGGCGTCGTCGTGGTCGTGGTCGTGGTCGTCGTCGTCGGCGTCGGGGTCGTCGTCGTGGTCGTCGTCGTCGTCGTCGTGGACGGACGGGGCCAGGGAGTCAGGGGGCTGCACGGGGCGAGGATAAACCCTTTCTGGAGCGTTCTGGAACTCTCTCAGGGCGTTCCGGAACGCTCTGAAAAACTTGGCGACGCCCGATGCCTCCTCCAGAGTCGGCGGGTCTCACAGATCCTGGATGTATCCTCACCCGAAGTTGTCCTGGTCCTGGCTTCGCCTGAGCTGGAGAGGGGCCACGACGCCAGGGGCAGGGGAGGACTACGAAGACCATCTCGGGCTTCATCGGCCCTCCGAGCCGTGCCTCCTCGGGTGCGGCGTGTTCGGCGACCCCTGCGGGGAGCAAGGAGCGCAAGGAGAGCCGACGCGCGGAGGGGCTTGCGAGGTCTGCTTGGCAGCAGGTAATGCGAAACTGCGGGCTGGCGACCGCGAATCGGCCGTTGATCGCCGCGAGGGGCACGATGGCCCACGGCCCACGCAGCCCACGAACGTGCGGATATGCCATCGGGGGCCCATCGCCGATCTATCGGCGACGCATCGCATATTCCAGCTCGATGCCCTCCCTTATCCCCCTGAGTCGGCCCCCCCCCCCCCCTGACGTTCCCCCTCATCGCCGCTGGCGTTAAAGCTTGGACGCCGACGGTGTCCCAGCGTCGGACAACATAGAACGATCTGGCGATCGAAACGACGCCGATCGTTCAAGACTGAAGGATCACGCGGTGGCAGAAGCCAACGCCGGGGCAGCGCGACACGAACCTGCTGTATGAAGCTCGGGATTCCAGCATGGCTTCTTAGCTGGAGAATTCGGGTGTTGCCCAAGATTCGGGGGTGGACAGGACCCCCAACAGTGACACGTCGATTAGTGAATTGTCCGTTTTCGGTTCTCGAGAGGGCGCCGCGGCCGTTATTTTCCAGGCTTGCGCCCGCCAGGTTTGGGCCCGAGGTCGTTTTGGCGGCCTCCCTTGGGCCCACCCAGCGGATCTGTCCGAGTCTGGTTCGACTCGGGTCCGCCTCCACAGCTCGATTCAAGTTCGACTGAAGTTCCACTTCAGTGCGATCCAAATCGACGGACGGTCGACGCATCGTCGACGTGTGAGTGCAGCGAGTGCCTCCAGGAAGGTCCCCATTATGAGCATCATCCAAAAGCCTCGGGCTTTCAGCATGGCTTCTTCGCTCGGGAGCCCAGGGAGTGCCTTGGCACTCTCCCAGCGTCCGCAAGTGACGCCGAGGGTGTTCAAAGCGTGTTTCTGTTGAGGCAGGGTGGGCTGCGTTGGTTGGCTTCGTTGCCGAGGCGTCTTGAGGGTCGCCAGTGCACTGGTCAGATGACTTCTGGTTCATTGTGCCAGAGTGCGCTGACTTCGCCGCCATACACTGCCGGCGCCTGTGATGTGTCAGGGCTAATGACACCGGAACGACAACTGAAGGCCCAACCCGTGAATATTTTTGTTTTGCTATCGTCATTCGCCTAAGTATTTGAATTGTTGATTGCAGTTTCTGGCTCACCACTGCCCGCTAGCTGTTACACATGTAACTCCCGATTGGTACTCCCTGGCAGTCGCATTGCACACTGGAATTGGCCCGCAAAGTTGTCAGTATGATTGCTGCAGTCTGCCAGGTAGCGTCCGGACGTCGCGCCGTCGAGGACGCCGATGTGCTCAGCGAGATCGGAATCGGCGGGGAGTTGCCATGCACTCATCGTCTCACGACCCACCAGGGCACCCCAGCCCAACCCGAGGGTCCTTAAAGTTGCCCTCCGTTCCCTGATTTTCCCTGAGGATCGAGGCGTCCCGTACAGCCCCCCCTCCTCTGTGTCGATCGGCACGTGGAATTCCAACGGTCTATTTTGGCGTATTCGCGGAGGTAATTCACTATGTGCTAAACGGTTTGCATATGCGATCGGGCTTTGCAGGAGAAAAAAATGAAGTTGCACTCCATTCCCAGTGGGGGGGCGACCCAGAACCATGGAGGACATGGAGGACGCAGAGGGGAACCGTGCGCCACCCCCCCCCGCAAGAAATTTGGGACTTCGGGTGGCTAGGTTGGATTATGTCTGATGCATGTTTCATTTTTCCTCCAAAATCCCCCTGTAAGAGGACATGTCCGACCTAAAGGTAGTCATCCACAGCTTCGGACTGGCGCAGAGTGCCAGGCCGCCGCGGCGGAACTGGATGGCCATGCGTCCGATCTGGGGCCACTTCGGCACGCGCTGCATGCAGCGAAGTCGCGTGCAGGTGATGTTGTGTAAGGGTTCCGTCTGGGATCCCAGCAAACGTGAGCTTAATACATCGAGTAGTGGATCGACTTGAGGGCAGATGTCGCAAAGCTGACCAACCTGTCCTGCCACCCTTCACGTCCCTTCAGCCAGCATTCACAGCCCATTCCATGCCATTCTGTCGCTTAGGCTCGGCTTCCAGAGGGCTAGCGAAGGACTCGGAGGGGGCCGACGCCGCTTCTAGCGCCGGCATCTTGGAGCGGCTATATTCTAAAGGGGAGTCACCCCGAATTGCTAGATGGAAGTAGAGCCGCAGCTGGAGAGAACTCGGCGAGATCGGCAGCATCGGCGGCTGATCACGCCGAGGGCTCAGCCAGCCGAGGACTCTGCACGATGGAAGGCTAGCTCAGCCAACCGATCTGGCCAAAGCGCGGGCCTTTTCAGGGAGACGGCCTCGCCCACAATGCTTTGGTCGGCGCCCTGCGCCCTCACTCCATGGGCGCCCGACTCCGGACCTGCCTAAATTTACGAACGAAGCCTCACGGCCATCGACGAGATTCGACGAGGACGCCCTGGCGACTGACGTCTCCGTGACCACGCAGTTCGACACCGACGTCGGCTTCAATGATAACGCCAGCAAGCGGAAGACCAGGAGCGTCGCCCACGATCCACCCAAATGCATTGAGCACCTCGGCGTCACCGCCGTCCCCGCGGATCCGTCTGCGCCCATCTTGCCGCGAAACGGCTGGGCAAAGATCGAGGAAGACATTGGCATCCTGTGCGGCCTCCTGGTCAATTTCGTGGTAGGCACCATTCTCGCCATCTCCTTAATCCGACTACGCTTGACCTGGGCAGCGCCGCTGGTGACTCCTGTCCTGGCGGACTATACCAGTTCTGCGCCGTTCTCAATACGCGCTGAAATTGGTCTTGCTTCGGCCGCTTCTGGGCGCCCCAGATCAACTTGCACCCGCAGTAGTCGCAGTCCCTCCAGAGCTTCCACGTTGCCTTCCACACCAAGCTGGTCTGGAGCGACTTCACAACGCACTCCAAGTTCTTTTTCGGTTTTGCGGGGCACTCCAAGTCCTTTCGCTTGAAGTTTATCACGTACAGCGACGACACCCGCGGTGTCCAGCTGCAGGCTCCCCCCACCGGCGACAGCCGCACTCTGCTGGTGACGCGACCGGTCCGCCGCGTCATTTTCCAGCGTTTCTGGACCACCCACAAGAAGGCAGCTCACGCGTTGCGCGCCGTAGCGCGCATCCGCTGCCTCCATCACAAGGAGTTGGTTCGACAGCAAGGAGTTGGACAACATCAACGTCGACGTCCCATCACATCGAGTCTTCACCATGTGGTACTCCACTCTGGACGACCACGACAAGAAACTCTTCACGATTTACCGCAGCGGTGCTGCGTTTACACTTACACGCTGGCGGTGCGTTCGCCCGTGCAAGTACCGCATCCACCCCCAGCCGTCTTTCAGCATCTGTGGCAGGTAAGTCATGCGTTTCAACGCGGTCGCAGTTTGTTTGGGCGAAGTTCTTCCCCACACAATTCCTTGGCGTCACAGCCCCGAGTGACGAGCAAATCAGGATGGATCACTCGTCAGGCGGGCCCGACGATCCTGACGCGCTCGATGTACCTGGCACTCGTGGCGCTAGGCCATATCCGCCGAAAATGCATGTTGGCACAAAGCGCCGACCAAAACAACGTGCGAACTTGTGACCGAACGCTAACGCCGCTTTGCTTTATGATGTTCCAACCTACTCTAGTCTTGATCACCAGAACGATTGTCGGGCACCGAGGAAATATTGAAACTTCCGGATTTTCGCGTGTCGGGCCCTGGGGGGCGGTACTCGTGCGACATTGTTTCGATACTTTTTCTGGGTGCTCGAAATTATTTCTGGGATGTGGTCCTTAAGTCAAGGGAGGAAAAAAGAGAGGAAAAAACACCTGGACCGGACAGTTGGCGTTTACTACGCGGCCTTGGGCGTTTACTAATCAGCCCTGCCCTGTTTGATTCTTTCTTTGGGCGCGTTTTCTAAACGACTTCGCGTGTCGCGGTCGTTACTATGGGGGTGGATTCGTTGTCTTCTATTGTGTACGATGGGGGCAACGTAAGCTTCGGTTTTGAACCACAAGTTTCGGTCGCAGCCTGGCGCGCTCGGGGAGCATCTGGCGCCGGATCTGGTCGGACCCGGGCAGATCTGCGGACACAGCCTCGGTCACCACTACCTGTGACTGACGAGCGAACAACACACACATACCCATAGCGGGGTCGTCGGGAGGAGGACTGGCTATGGGTACGGGCGCGGGTTTTCGGACCCCGGGGGGGGGGGCTCCCGTTCGAGCGGGGACACCCATCCGACAGCACGCACCCATAGCCCCCGCCGTCCACCCTGTGGGTCTAGGTGCGCGTCGTTCGATCGTCGCCGACAGAAGCGAGAACACGTGACGCGTCGGGCGCGCGGGCCCCGCTGCAACACTCGTCGGCGAGCTTGGGGGGAAGTGCCATGGCGCCAACATCGCAGAGCGGATTTCGGTCGGAAAACGATAGGGTGGGCCCGGGGTGTCCTGGAGAGTTTCGTTCCAGATTTCGAGGTGGATTTCGTGCAGATATCTTGTTGGCCAGAGATGAAAGCCAGAAAAATCCACGCGAAATTCAAGTCGTTTTTCGCTCGCCGCTTCGGGCAAACATCCACGCAGAAATCCACGCTGAAATCCGGTGCAGCACGTCTGCAAGGTGTGCAGTGAGAAGTGAGAAGGAGCAGGTCTTCTCAGAAGGCGGCGGGGCTTCCCAGAAGCCCTCCGGCTTCCTGAGAAGTTTTTTTGGTGTTTTCGGGGGCGGCTCGGAAAACTCAGCCGAAGGCCAGAGGACTTCCGAGCCTTCTGAGGAAGCCCGCCCCCTCCTGCTTTTCCCGACAGGGACAGGGCGGAGGAGGAGGGGGAGGAGGGGGAGGAGGGGGAGGAGGGGGAGGAGGAGGAGGAGGAGGAGGAGGAGGAGGAGGAGGAGGAGGAGGAGGAGGAGGAGGAGGTCGAGGAGGAGGAGGAGGGCTGGGCGCGACGCCCATGCCACGACGCCGACGACGCCAGCGTGCACACTCCAATTCCAGCTGACGACGACGACCTTTGCAGCCCAACCCCCGT